CCTGTGAATCCTTTCAGGGGTGTGGCAACGGGATTAAACCGGGCATTATCTATGCCTAGCTGCTTAAAAGCGTGGAGGTACATGATGTCAGCTGAGCTTCCACCGTCCACTAATATCTTCTTGACCAAGAAGTTGGCCAGCGTTGTTGTTACTACCAGTGCATCGACATGGTCTTCATCCGGACCTTCGAGGTCGGAGGAGTTGAAGACTATGCTGTGATCAGGTCTTCGTATTTGATATATGCGTGCGGAGGGAGAAGCATGCTCTTGATTCATGCGTGCTGATCGAGCGAGGGTGCGTCTTGCATTTTGTGAATCGCCACCCGCCGGTCCTCCGGAGATAAAAGAGATGATTCCTCGGGTAGGTTGGTTATCGTTGTTATCTAGGTCACGTCGATGACTTCCATCCTCTCGTCTTTGCTGTTGATCTCGATTGTTATCTCGGCGTGGAGGATCATCACGGCGCTTATTTCTCGGCTTATCAATGTATTCGCCTAAATGGCCCTGTTTGACCAGCCTCTCAATCGCCATTTTGAGTTGTGCACATTCTTCCGTAGTATGCCCTCTGTCCTTATGGAATCGACAATAACGATCCGATTTTTCTCGCTTTGCGTTTGGCTGCATAGGACGTGGAGGTTCTGCTAAACCTTTTTGCTCTATCACGTGAAGGATTTCCGTGAGGCGAGCGTTTAGCGGAGTGAACCTATTGTAGGAGGAAGAGGGTTGGCCTTGAGGTGGAAGTGGGGGACGTCGATCATCGCGCCTCCTATTGTCCTGACGGTCATCTTCCCTTTTTTCTTTTAGGAGGAGCATGGGTAGAAGCTTCCTCTATCCGGACGTATTTTTCGGCTCGATTTAGCAACTCCTCCAAGTTGCCTGGGGGTCTTCCTGCGATAGATTCTTTGAATCTACCAGGTTTCAAGTTTTGCTGCATAATCCCAGAAAGCATGTCTTGCCCCACACTGGGGACTTCATGGACGGCTTCTACGAAACGTTTGATGTAGTTGCGGAGCGTTTCGTTATCTCTCTGTACTACTGAGAAGAGATGAGCTGGGGTTTTGGCATATTGTTTATTGATGGCGAATTGGTTGGTGAACCGGGTTGACAGCCGAGCGAAGGTGTCAATCGACCCTATGGGTAGGGAGTTGAACCAGTTCATTGCCCTCTTGGAGAGAGTGGTACGGAACATTTTGCACATCGCAGCATCCGTCGGGCCGTATAAATCCGCCATGGCACTGAATTTCTCAATATGTTCCTGTGGGTCGGTGGTTCCTTCGAATTGAGGTAACCCCGAGATCTTTACTCCTTGAGGTAATACCTCGTTGAGGATGTCTATGGTGAAGGGACTGCGTCTTGCTGGGAGAGGCATCCTCTCATCCATTTGATTATTTGGTTGGGAGAAAAGGTTTTGGCGAGACATTCGGCTGTTTACTTCGCCTTCTCCCTCATTAAAGAGAGGGATTCTCGGTGGTGATGCATTCCCCCGTAGGGGTGAGCGCCGACGTTGTTGTCTGGGCTGTGCTCCTCGGTGATTAGTAGATAGCTGCACTCGGGACCGTGGGTCCGACGTAGAGGAGGAGACACTTATTTGATTCTGGATTGGCGGTGGGACCACAGTGGTACTATAGGTGGAGCTTGTGCTGGTATCGCATTGGGAGCGTCTGCTCCCATCGTGGCGATATATTGAGTTACGGCCTCCGTGGCGGCGCGAGTAGAAGCTTCCGCTATCATACGTTGGAGCGCGTCCTCGGTTATTTGAACCGTTCGAGGAGCAGGGAGTGGTGGATCGGCGAGTGGTGGGTCCCGAGGGGGGATCACCTGAACCTCGCGAGGTGGATCTGCAGCACGTGGAGGAGCTGGCTCCGTGGCCCGTGGAGGAAGTTGCTCCACGACGCGTGGAGGAGGTGGTATGCCCGATCCTCCACGGGCTGGGAGGTTATTAGCTGTGTCGTTTTCTCTCCGAGCTGACGCCTCAGGAGGATCTTGTTGGCTACGTGATCTGGTTTGCATCGTTCCCACAGACGACGCCAAAATGATGAAGCTAAAGTGTAGCTCACCTAGGATAGTATAGAAAAAGAGCTGGGAGAGCAAAGCTGATCAGTAGCTAGTCAACTCGATGCTCCTGAGGTCCCTGCGAAAAGAGCACACGTGAACTAAGCCGGGGGTTGATCCGGCGGAAACCCCTCCGACGCTCAAGTCAGATGTACGGATCGTAGAGAGAGTAGAGAGAATAAAACTCGAGGTTGATTATCGATAAATGAGAACGTACCTTAATAAATGAATAAAACATCTATTTATATGTTGTTGAATGGGTTGGGCTTCCTTTGTTGGGCCCAAGCCTTACTTTGAAGGAGCTTGGGCTTTCGTGTAATGAGCCCACTCGTATATGATTGGGCTCTCATGTATTGGGCCTAATTAGTAGATAAATTTGAGGGCCCATTGGGCCGGCCCATTTAGGTATATTATATATATATATATATATATATATATATATATATATATATATATATATATATATATATATATATATATATATTGTACGTATATATTATTCATTGTACCATTAGTTCAATGTACGAATAGAGCATGTTTCTCGAACGAAAGCTCTTAAAACAACAATAGTATTGACAATTTCTTGTTTAGTTATGAGAAAACTATACAAAAAGTTCTAACCATGTTAAGAAAAGTGAGGGATAAGATTGATGATGACGTGGACTTCAACAAGAAACAAGCGACAATTAAATTATATTTTACTACGCCATCATAAATCTATAAAAATATGTATTGTAATATGTAATTTAAAAATTATTTTTATGCATTATTAATTTATACTTTATATGTAGCTTTTTAAAATTTTCGAATGTGTATTATCTTATAAATTTAATGAATTAATAATTTAGCACGTTGCCCCCGAGTCGGGACCGCGAAAAAATATTATTAACGAGATTATTAAATTATCGAGTATTAATTTATCAAGATTCTATTATACATATATAATTAAACACATAGGTTCGATGAAAATGAAGTTACAAGGGTTAATAAATGGAGTTCCATCACAAAAATAAGAAATATGAAATCGGAGGAAACAAACCCATTCCACTTCACTAAAAACAAGCCCAATAAGCGATAACGGTGATCATATGCGTTAATAAAATGTATTTTATGTAAAATAATGGGAAAATTACAGTTTTCACTCCTCAAATTCACACATATTTCACATTTGATTTTCCATATTCACAAAAAAACATATTTAATCTTTCATGCTTTAATCCCTTAGTTTAGGCAGTGATGAGGAACACGCTTGATTCAATTACTATTAACGAAAGAATGACAAAAAATGTTGAATTTTTAGAACTTGAGGGACCAAATTTATATTTTGCAAATATAGATGAGTAAATGTAAAATCGATTCAAACTTCAGAAAGAAAACCGTATGTTTCGGGTAAAATAATATAAACAACTTCATATATACTCCAAAAGAATGTATTATAATGGAGTATAAAAATATTAATGCAAGTTCGTAAGGATGACATATTACATGGTGTAAATTTTATTTGAATTGACGGTATAAATAATATCTTTAAGATTTTAGAATTTTGAATAATTTCCAAATGAAATATTGTTTTTTCAAGTTATCGTGAGCAAAGTTATGGTGAAAATTGAAACAAAATTTTTGAAAATTGAAACAAAATTTTTGATTTTGTAACAATAACTTTTCTTACGAATCTCGAAAGGTCCGATTTTCAATTTTTGGGAACGAATTGAAATACATATTAGATTTCAAAATTCAATATTATTTTAATTTCCAATTTTTTTAATTTTTTTTTTTTTTTTGTTTTTGAAACTTATGATGTTTTGGAACAAAATTTGAATTAGTACTTCACTTTCAAAAAAACAAACAGAACGCTCCAAAAGTGCTAATTTCCATCTAATTCATGCTATTTCCACCCGTAGTTAAAATTGTCGTTTACACTTCCAAATAATTCAAAATATATTAAAAATTATATTTTTTTTCCAATCTTCTTCGTCACGTGTCCTTTATTGACCTTGACTAAATTTTTTTTCCTTTTTGGTAATTAGAGATTACACAGGAATGGTAATTACTACTATCCCTAGATTTTGACTGTCGATTATTTCGATTATTTTTTAAGAAGATTAATTTATTGTGCGATTTTCAATTCTACACATGGGATGGAATATTCGGCGCAGCCTAGCATTATTTACGTCGATTCTTATCACTTTCTCTTCTTCCATCTACAGTTTTCATTACAATCAAAACTACCAAGAACAATAAATAAATATATTTATGACAAATTGTTCTTACAGAAATCAGTTGGAACACATCGCAATATCTCAAACACTAAATAACCAAGAACAATAAATAAATATAAGCACGCACGTGTTGGTACAAACGAAACGTATTTTTCAGAGCACACTGTTTTTAATTTTTTTTATAACCTTTTTAAGGAAACATTAAACACATGCTCACAACTTCAATTAATGAAATATCTGATCCTCAAATCCTCTCTCTTCCTTTCTCTCTCTACACACACATTTCTCTCTCTACAGTCTACACACAGTGCTCAGACTTTCAAACTTTTTTCCCCGGCGGCGATGACCGAAATTCCGGTACCAAAAGTTTGTCAAGATTGATTTTTTTTTTTTTTTTTTCAAGAAAGTTTGTTTTGATCTTTAGTAATAATATTTTGGGATTGTGGGTTGCCTCTGAAATTCCAATTTATTGACTTGAAAAAAGAGGAGAGAGAAAAAAAAAAAAAAAAAAAAAACAGAGTTCTTGGTTCTTGATTTCGGGGTTTGAACCCGGAGACGAAATCTTGACTTGTTTGGGTCCGGATTTGTCGGCGATCGAAAAAATCTGGTTGAATTGGAAATTTTTTTTATAAAGGAAGAAATTAGAAATTAAAAATAAAAAAAAAAGAAAAAAAGAGCATATAGTTGAAAAATAGACTTTGTGGTATTTGCCATTAGTTTTGTTTCTCTCTCTCTCTTCTTTCCTTCAGACAGAGAGAGAAAATCCCCTTAATTTCTCACTTTCTCTCCCATTGAATTCCTTCCCCACCCTTTCTTTATTGTTTTTACCTTACTCTGTTTTTCTTTCTCTCTCTCTCTCTCTCTCTCGTCTTTTTGTTTTCCCCCTGTTTTCCCTAAAGAGATTAGAGAGAGAATCAGAGCAATCTCTCTCTTTCTCTCTCTATCTCTCTCTCTCTCTCTCTATCTCTGTGTGTGTGTGTCTGAAAACCATGTTTATCTTTGATAAGGTACCGATGCAAACAAATCTTGAAAGCTTCTTGGATTGCACAACCCCTGTGGTCCCATCTCAATTTCTGCCCAAGGTTAGTTTTTTTTTTTTTTTTTTTTGATAATTAAAATTAATTTGTTGTTTTTTAATTAATTAGATTGATGGCATTGTACATTTGTTGTTGTTGTTGGTCCATTTTTATTGTGCAGAGTGAGATGATGAAGCTTAACAAGCTATGGCATCCATGGGAAAGAGAGAACATTGACTATTTTACCCTCGGTGATCTTTGGACTAGCTTCGACGAATGGAGCGCTTGCGGCGCCGGAATCCCGATCGTCTCCGACGACGGCCAGAATTTAATCCAATATTTCGTTCCGTATCTCTCCGCAATCCAAATTTTCACCAGCAATTCATCTCTAAATTGTACGAGGTAAATAATTAATTATTATAGCATTGCCAAAATTGATCATCTTTGATAATCTATTTTAATGGTGTCGTTTGATTTCGTTCTTGGTTCTAATTGAAAGTTCATAAAATCGTTAAAAGAATGCAACTTTTTGATCAAAAGTGTTCTCGTCGGACCGTTCTTGGTTCTAATTGCAAGTTCATTAAAATCTCTAAATTGTACAAGGTAATTTTAATTATAGCATTGCCAAAATTGATCATCTTTTTTTTTTTTTTTTTTAATTGATAATCTATTTAATTTTGTATTGCTTAAAACAATTTTAAAAAATGCAAATTTTGGATCGAGAATGTTATCGTTTAATTTCGTTCTCGATTCTAATTGCAAGTTCATAAATTGTAAATAAATGCAACTTTTTGATCAAAAGTGTTTTCATCGGATCGTTCTTGGTTCTAATTGCAAGTTCATTAAAATCTCGTTTTCGTATTGTTATATTTATATAATGGCGACATATGTGCAAAAAAATAAAACGGAGTTACTATTAGTTACATTGCTTCGATATATTGTAATTACATAATCATTTGAAATTTCGAAACTTGTTTATTTGAATAGGGATAGGGATGAAACGGACTCGAGTGAGACTAGAGATTCGTTTAGCGATTCATTTAGTGACGAGAGTGAGAGCGAGAAGTTGTCTAGGTGGGACGGATGTTCCTCCGAAGAAGGGCTTTCCGAGCAAGATTGCTCGTGGCATCCAAACGCTCGATTGGGTAATCTTTATTTTCAATACTTTGAGAAGTCGTCTCCTTACGGAAGAGTTCCCCTCGCGGACAAGGTAACCAACCGTTTTTTTTTTTTTAATTAGATTTATAATTAAATAAATACTTGAAATAAAATTTTTTTTTCTTTTGAAATGAATCAACATTTTCGTGGGAGAATATTCGTCTTTTGTCTATAGCGGATTGCTTTTGAAAACTAACTAAACTTTTTTCTTTAGAATATACTCTTTCCTTTCGATCATGTATGTCCATTTTGTCAAGAGCATCAAATATGATTCTGTTCCGCAAACGTTGAATTTCTTTATTTATTTTATTTATTTATCGGTTTTCGATTTTTCTCTTCAGACTTTTAGCTTAGCTGAAAGATACCCTGGATTAATGTCTTTGAGAAGTGTAGATCTTTCACCTGCGAGTTGGATGGCTGTTGCATGGTTAGTCATCTTCACTCGTAAAATCGATTAAAAAACGAGATTTAAAGAAAATGTATATATATACATAAATATATGTATTCATTCGTCTTTTTGTGAACCAAAAAAAAAACGCATAGGTACCCTATTTATCACATTCCCGCCGGAAGAGCCGTTAGAGACTTGCAGACGTGCTTCCTCACTTACCACACACTTTCCTCTTCTTTTCAAGGTATATTCCATTTTTATATTCCCTTCATTATCGAGATAACTCGTCTCTTCACTAACTTTTTTTTTTTTTTTTTTTTTTTGTAGATATGGATTTTGAAGAAGATGCGGAGAATGTCGAGAGGAAAGGAAAAGAAGGTGAAAGCATAGCTCTGCCTCCGTTTGGTTTGGCGACTTATAAGATGCAAGGCGATGTTTGGATATCCGACAAAATGGGCGGTCAAGATCAAGAGAGGCTCTTTTCAATGGTGAGTGTTGCCGATTCTTGGCTAAAGCAATTACACGTGCAGCACCATGACTTCAATTACTTCATGGGAATTCGCCATTGATAAGAAGCATACCCGAAATAAAATCCGTTTTTTTAGTTAAACCCCTCCAAAAAAAACAAAACCAAAAAAAAAAAAAAATTATATTATATCGACGACTAGAATGCTTTTTCTCCCGTGTTTTTTTGAGTATTCGTACTGAGAAAACGAGAGAATTAGTGAGCTTTAGAGGTGTAGAGAATTTTCTCTGGTTTTTAACGTGCGTTTTTTTTTTTTTTTTAATTGAGTTGGTTTTAGAACGCGTAAAGGTGAAACTAACAAACGCCCGCTTTTTTTTCGGATTTTTTTTTTCCGTAAGAGGTGGTTTTATTGCAAGAGCGATTTAGATGAAGAGAGAGTGAAGTTCTTGGGGACTTTTATATGTACAGGTTCAGGAGAAAAAAAAAAACAAGTGGACTTTGCACATTTTATATGTAACATAAATTTCATGACTTGTTATATTATATTTTTCCCGGATTTTATTATTACTGCTAATTATTTTCCTTACAATTTTCCAGTTTATTTTGCCTATCTTGATTTTGAAGTTTATCTTGACAATAGTTTGAACCCTAACTTTAAAGTTTATAAGATGGCAGTAAATTTATGATTTTTTTTATTTTTCTTTTACGATGGGAAATGATAAATGCATAACGATTTTTATTAAATGTAGGATATTGTTTTTAATTTTAATTTTTTTCTCTATTTTGGACGCACTTTAGTAGCAAGAGATATTTTAATACAAAAATAATTCTCGTCCTCCACTTATAATTGTCTACATGTAACATGACTATATTTATTCTCTACAGTTTTCAAGCATCAAACACATTTGAAAAAAACTCTATATTTATTTGTCGTTCATATTTAATATTGAGTATAAATAAATTTTTACCTCAGTTTCAACCGTATCATCTTCAAAAGCCGATAGATTCATGTTTTTGGTGATTAATGATGATTAATGGTATGATATTCTTCCAAATTAATGTCAATGAAAACTTATAAAAAGAAAGAGTTTAAAAAATTAAGATGAGATATATTAAGTTTTTTTAAATAAATTAAATCGAGTAACCTTAATCGACTACCAAAACAGTCGATTAATACTTTAATCGACTATCGGAGTATTATCGATTAACTTAATCGACTACCAAAACACGTAGTCGATTAAGGGTCCAACTTGTGTGATTTTCTCTACCTGCGCCGTCCTTCGCTCTATCTACCAAAAAACCTAGATTTGCTCTCCATCTCACCACACCGCCGTCACATCACACAATCACCTCCCCACTTCAATAAATTTCTCGCCTCTGCCACCTGCTGCATCACCACACTTCGCCGCCTGTTGCACCACAACTTTCAACTGTCGATGTTAAGTACCACGACAATCTAATCTTCACAAAACTCCAGGAAACTTCAACCGACGGGGGGTTGGTTCCGCTCCTATCCCTACCGGATTAACTTGCTGGAGCACGTGGTCCCCACCGCTCTTCCTCTCCTGCTGATTCTTCTTCTCCTTGTCGGTGTAAGCGACAACCCTCATGACCAATGTCGAGGCAGTTGCTAGAGAAAATAGTGATTAAGAAGAAAAAAAAAAAGAGAGAAGAAAGAAACGAGAAAGGAGACGGGATAAATAAAAAATGAGATTAAGATTTTGAAAGAGTACATTGAACAATTAATGGTAGATTTTCAGTTCTTTTTTTTGTTTTTAGCACAAAAGTAATCCAATTCCAACTATGCTGCACGAACATGGATACGCAGACACTGCGATACGCGGATACGGACACAACGATACGACAGTTTTAAATGTTGGAAAAATTGAAGTGTTCACCTCAAATTTGGAAAATATTGAAGTAAAATTCCGTGATTGTTTCAAGGAATAAATTATGGAAACATAATCTACGCTTCAAGTAGATAATTGTAGTGTGTTTAAATGCTCAAATCCAATATGGGATGAATGAGAAATAAATGCACAAAGTAAGTACTTCAATGAGCTAAAGTGAGCTCAAAGGGCTTGGTGGGAGGTGAAAAGTCACCTATCCCACATTGTGAAAAGAGCATTAATGAGAACACTTTAAATAGTGTCAAGTGGATAGCTAGATGTATAATCAAGTGTGGGCTTAAGTACCAAGCCACATGCGCGCCGCCGCCGCCCGCCGGACCGAGAGCGTGTCCGAGGCCTTTGGAAATGTTTGTTTTGGACATAATTAATTAATATTTAAATCTAGAGTTGTGTCTTTTGGAACACAACTTTCTGAAAACTATAGATAGAGCCCTAGTTTTCCAGCAATCTCACTCAATCATCTAAGCATTCATAAGTATATCTGTTGCATTATCTTTCTTTCGTGTCAATAGAAGTCCAAAATGTCTTTTCGTTCATTGTGTTCCAACAGTTGTTGTGCTGCTCTGTTGGAACTGTAAGTCGTTCTATCTTGGGAGACAATTGTCGAAACCGAAGCACTGTAGCGGGGCAATTTTGTCTTAAGGAGGGAGAACAAAGTTCTTGCATCGACTTTTCTCTATTTCTCAAATCTCTGTTCAACTATCTCGAAAAACCTCTAAATAACAATTAACACTAAAAAACTAGGATACGGATATTTGGGGATACGCATAAATATAAAAAATATATGGGTATATTTATAAATTATTAAAATATAGGGGTACATTTATAAATTGTAAAAAAATATTTATAAGTCGTCAAATCGCAAAAGAGAACCGCTTGCCCTTGCTGCTCCCCTGCGTGTGTTTTTGGTCGTCGTCGCCACTAGAATTTTGGACTTTTAGGTGCTCTTAAAGATGACAGAGACAAACTCAAAATAGAAGGATCCACTAGCATAAATTTGTAATATAGAGAAGGAAATTCGTATTTTTTTATTATGCATTTCTTTTAAAACATAAGAGTAGTGTCCCAACTTTTTTAAAATTGCGGACACTTCCCGTTACTGGTGTTCTATTTTTAGCAAAATTACGACATAACCCGATACGAAGGTCCGAACCGAGTGCAGACGTGTCTGAGTATCCAGGTATCGGTTAAGGAATCCTTCACCTTTTAAAAGTGTCCATGCAGCATAAAATTCCAACAATAGTCAAATAGAAATAGTCAAATAGATGACAACTAGATCAGATTCGAATATCCATTTCATAATTCAATTACTAAGTAATACGAAGGATAATAATATCTCTTGATTAACCATAGCATCAAAGTCAATATGTCCGAGTGGTTAAGGAGACAGACTCGAAATCTGTTGGGCTTTGCCTGCGCAGGTTCGAATCCTGCTGTTGACGTAATTTTTTAATTTTCGAAATAACTTTTCCAATTTCATCTTTTTTATTAAAAAAATTGAATGTTTACGGGGAAAACAAATAAATAAGTAATTAAAATATTAATAATAATCTGATATATTTAATTAAAAAACTTTTGGGGTTTATTGCGAGTCTGTCATGAATTAGTGAAGACAGCTAGCTATTGTTTGGCATGTGAGCTCTCCGCCGGCTTACGAGCCAGTCAGCTCACCACCGACAGTTGCTCCCGTTCCTTCGCCGCCGTCTCCAGCTCCCGTGGCGGCGACACCACCCACTGAGTCTTCTCCTCCCGCGCCGACATCTGCTCCGCCCACCGAGCCACCAGCCACGGCACCACACTCCTTCTCCGAAACCGGCACTAGCGTGTGTGTGTTTGTTTTAGCGTGTGGATAAACTATATATATATATATATGTATATATTTATTTATTTGATAAGGACTGTTGAATTTTCCGTCGGAAGAAGAAATCACAGGCTAGAGAGAGAAAGGGCAGCAACCCTTTGAAGAAATCCCACTCATCTTCTCTCTCTACTTCATTTTTTTCTTCTGAGTTTTTATATATATGTATATTTATTTGTTTATTAATGGTTGATTATTTTGTGGAAAGAGAAATCATAGGCTAACGAAAGGGCGGGGTCGGAATTGACCTCGCACGACGTAAAGACCGCGGCCGGTATTGGCCACGTTACTGAAAAGGCGGGGTCGGAATCGACCTCGCACAAAGTGAAAATCGCTGCCGATATTGCCGGTATCGGCCGCGTCATTAAAAAGACAGGGTCGGAATTAATTACAGCAATGCCAAATATCCTAAAACAAAACTAAAATCACAAAACAAATAATTAAAAAAATAACAATAAATTGAGTTAATCAATTCGTATATAATTATCAGAAAATTAACCAACGAGCCTAACGGTCTTCTTGTTGACTTCCTCACCGGACCCATCCAGGCGCACGTTAGCCTTCACCACCATGGCCTCCCTCTCCAAATACCTACCGCACCGCCTGAGCTTAACCGTGGTCGCCAACTCCACCCGAATATCCACCACCGACCCACCGGAGATCTTCACGAACGCATCGTCCCACGGCAGCCCGCTGGTCCGGACCACCACCCTACGGTGGGCCGTCTTCTTCAGTCCCTGATAGAACCCGGCGGCCGTGTAGTTACCCACCGCCGGCAGACTCGCGTTCGAGGCGTAGAAGAAGGTTAGATTGAGATCGCCGTAACGGATCCCGTTAAAGGGCATCACGTTCTGAAGCTTGAGGTCGATGAAAATGAAGGTGTTGAGCCTGGTGGCGTTGGATGAACCGGTGGTGGTTTTTAGGGCAGGCACGTACATATCCTGTATGTATAATCTGGGCTTGTGTGTAACGAAGCTTAGCGAAAGTATTACTATGACGGGGGTTAAGATTATCACTATGCAGATTGTCCATATCGAGATACAACATTTTCCCATTGGAATAATATATGTATAGAACACAACACACACAAAAGAAGAAGAAGAAATAAATACATTTATAGAACTATGTTTTCTTGACTAGGTTATATATAAAAATATATATATATATATATATATATATATATATATATATATATATATATATATATATATATATATATATATATATATATATATATAATTTAAATAAATCCCAAGAAGTTACCCATTATTTATTCTTTATCTTTAAAAAATCTCAAGTTGGAATAATTAAAGAAAGACCGCACAAAGTCAATAGATTAAAAGTCAAAACTTGGTGATAGTGGGAGGAAGAAAATAAAAGGGATAATTACAGTTTTCAACTCTCAAGATATCACATTTTGTTGACAAAAAAACACATTTGGTCCCTCATGTTTCAATAAGTTAACACTTTTTCGTCATCTCCGTCAACTTATTGTCTGTTAAGGCAGTGATGGGAACAAAGTTGATTCGGTTAGATTTTTAATAAAAAATTGACGGAAATAACTAAAAGTGTTGAATTTTTGGAAAATGAGGGACCAAATATATTTTTTTATGAACACGAGGGACCGAATGTGAAATTGATACAAACTTGGAGATGGAAACTAACTTTATTTTTTTCCAAATACAATAGGTATGACTTGAGTGGATGGCAAGTCGAATATTTATGAATAAATTTGCAAATAATTTTTTTCTCTAGACTTGTATTCAAATTAAATTTGAAATACATATGGCCGTGTTTTAAATAAGTTTCCCGCCATACTAATACTTTGAAGTTTGAACTATATGCATTTGATTAAGCTAACTTGATTTAGTTTACTTGACGTAATTTAGCTAATCACAAGTAAGAAGTTTATAGAACTGGAGCTCCGAAGATCTGCCGCCGGAGAGAAAAAAATTCAAAAGTCGAAAGTCAACTAATCGGAATTGAGGAGTCATTTGAATAGAGCTTTGACGACCTGCATTCAGATAATGAAAATTAATATATATATATATATATATATATATATATAGATATATATATATATATATTGTATAGGGAAAATTGCACATCACCCCCTAAAAAATTCTAATTTTTACACTTTACCCCCTCAAAATTTTAAATCTGAATGCCCCCTTCAAAGTGTTATTCTTTTTACAATTGCCCTGATAGCATAAATTCGATGGATTATTCATCGGCATTTGAGTATTTTTGTTGCGCATTGCCCCTTTATGCCCCATTTACATGTTATTTTTGTTGCACGTTACCCCTTAAAAACATTAACTTTTTGCGCATTGCCCCTTTAAAATGTTATTTTTGTTGCACAATGACCACGAAAAATTGGCTTCTGGGGCAATGTGCAACCAAAAGAATATTTTGAAGGGGGATCATCCAGCTTTTGAATTTTTAGGGGGAGGGAAAGCACGAAAATGTTAAATCTGTAGGGGGTAAAGTACATTTTGTCCTATTGTATAAAATAAAAAAAATTGAAAAAAAAGGATTTGGACTTGTATGAAATGAAATATTTCAGAATTTGATTTGTTGAAAAAACAGGATTGGGTGTTGTTGGCTGCTAGGGTTTGTCCGTACACCGTGATATATTATAATACACCGTAGTATATCATAGTACACCGTAGTATACCATAGTCTACTACAATATTGACGATAAATAAATAAATAAAAATATGTAGATTGAATTAAAAAAATAACAAAAAACACGTTTTTTTTTTTTTTTTGTAATTTTCAATATTATGTAGAAAAAAAGTTTTTTAAATGGTAGTGTAAACTATTGTACAACATAGTATACCATAGTATTTGTAAAACTGCTGAATTATTTAACGAAAAGGAAAAATATTTTCTTTTCGTAATTTTCAATAAAATGTTAAAAATAAGGAAAAAAAAAGTTGTTTATAATAATGTAAAAAATTAATGCTAGACTGAAAATTGAAAAAATAAAGATGAGTGGAAGGGTATTATCGAAATGAATTCTATGTAGCAAATCTTTAGTTAAATTTGTCATTTAGTTCTAATTAGTTTTGTCACAGGATACCTATATCTTAAGAATACTAATTAAATAGAAGAATTGGTCTTAATTAGTATAAGACGGCAAAGATAATATTTTGTCCTTGCAAAGAATACAAAAGACGATCATATTTTTTTATTGTTGTAACTTGTAATGTAATGTCACTATATATATGCTGACAATTACATAGGAATGTAATAAGCTTTTTATATTCATCAATTAATTGTTTTTTCCTTGTTCAACTCAATTACTGGAGGAGGTGATGACCTAAAGCTCAAAACGTAGATACATACGAAGTACATTCCACTTATGTGTATTGTAATTGGTAGAATTAATAAATTAATGTTGGGTTAACATTGACTTTTTTAATTTGAACCTGTTAGACATGTCTAACGTATGTTAAGCCGTAATATATATATATATATATATATATATATATATATATATATATATATATATATATGGATAAAATGCACTTTGCCCCTATAAATTTTTGATTTTCGCACTTCCCCCCCTAAATATTAAAAAAAATGGATATTCCCCCTTCTAAATATTATTTTGATTGCACTTTACTCAATGAGCCAATTTTTTTAGGGCACTGTGCAACAAAAATAAAATTTTAAAGAGGCAATGTGCGAAAAAGTAATGTTTTTAAGGGTCAACGTGCAATAAAAATAACATTTAAAGGGCAACGTGCAACATAACTCCTCAATTTTAATGAATAATTCATCGGAATTTTGCTATCGGGGCAATGTGCAACAAGAATAATATTTCGAAGGGGACATACACTTTTAAAAATTTTGAGGCGGTAAAGTGCGAAAAAATTAGAAATTTACAGGGGGTGATGAGCAATTTGCCCTTCTTTCAATATTAAAAGAAGAATAAATGGATAATTACACTTTTCGTCCCTATACATTACCACTTAAACGATTTTCGTCCCTAAACAAGATGAAGTTACAATTTTTGTCCCTAAACATGTCACTTTTATGCCGTTTTTGTCCCTCCGTCCATTTGTCCAGTTAGTTTGGACGGAAAATTGCACGTGCGCCGCACGTGACACACAAAAGCACCTCTACACAAAAGCTTCAACCTCAAAGGCCCGCGCTGCTACATCCAAGAATTCTACGTTCCCGCCCTCGACCTCTCCCAAAACACGAGCATTTCAAATCATACAACGGTAATCAACCCTTGCCTCTTCTTCGATCTCGCGTTCGAGAACATTTTGGGAGATCGCAGTGTCCGCTACGGAGATGGTAACCTCACCTTCTCGTACGGTCGAACCGCGGTCGCCAACTACGTGGTTCCCACTTTCTACCAGGGGAAGTTGAAGAGGGCCGACAGGCGAGAGGTGGTGGAGAGCAGTGGGGTGCCGTGGGAGTCCGCCGTGAAGGCGGTTTCGAATGGGTCGGCAGCGGTTTTTCGTGTGGATTTGGTGGCTCGGCCGAGGTTTGGGTTTTGGTTTTGGTATTCGAAGAGGAAAGGTATGAGGATTGGGGCTGACGTGGAGGTTGATGGGTTTGGGATGAAGATGAAGAGAGAGGATATTAGGCTGACCAACTTGGGGGCTTCCAAAACTAGGGTTGGCATTTTTGTTATGTTTGTTGGTCTTTTAGTTACTTTGCTGTGTTATATGATTCATCTGCAATAGTTTTTCCTAGAAGCCCATATGTCGGATAAAATTACCGTTACTGAAATCCGACGAGAAGAATTAATCGGTAATACACATTTGGGGAAAAATACAACGAGCTATATATCTCAAAAGGGTTAAATCTCATTTTTCTAATTTGAGGAGAAAAAGTGCAAAAATGACAATTTTTGAAGGGTCGAAGTGCAATTTGCCGATAATTTAAAGGGACAAATAAATTCTTCGTTAGGGTTTTGTTATTGTTTCAACTTTGAGCTTTCATCAGAAACCATGTCGAATTACGTACCAACAGACCTCCTGATCGAAATCCTCGTAAAACTGCCGGTTAAATCCTTAATCCGGTTCGCCGCCGTCTCCAAATCATGGCGGTCGATTATCACCAGCGCCGCCTTCATCGCTTCCCACCTCTCAAAAGGTAAAAACCATACCCATACCCTAATCCACACGCTATCAACAAATTCATTGGTTAAATTCACTGGAGGTGTACCCTTTGCTGTCAATTCTCCCTCAAAACTCAAATTCCCCTACTACGAATCAGACAGCATTTATACAAGAATAGTAGACTCTTGCGATGGGCTTGTTTGCTTATCGAATAACTTCTTCATAATTGATTTTGCGCAATCACCCGGCGTTATATGGAACCCATCTGTTAGAAATCATATAGCTTTACCCAACCCTGCTATCAATCCGGAAGACGCCTACATTTCCGTACTCGGTTTTGGAGTTGATGCCGGTCGTACCCACCACAAGGTGGTGAGGTTTCTTTACTGCAGAAACGCGGCCGGTATTTTTACGACACGGGTTGAGATATTTTCCCTCAAGACATGGAGTTGGCGGAGGTTGATTGGTGGAGTTGATATTTCTCTGCACGCTTATCTAAGTTTGTATTTTCGTCAAGTTTTCTTGAATGGGGTTGTGCATTGGCTCATCGAGCAAGAACCGATAGGTGACAATAGTTTTCGTCGTAGTTATATTCTGGCCTTTGATGTTGGAGACGAGGTATTCCGTGAAGTGATGTTGCCGGAATGGGAGGCGGGTGGTTCGGGTTTTGCAAAGTTGAGTATTTTCGTGATTAAGGAATCACTCGGAGTTGTCAAGTCAACTGGCGAGTCGTGTGATGTGTGGGTGATGAAGGAGTACTGTGTGAAAGAATCTTGGACTAAGTTATATACCGTTCGTTTGTTTGAAAAGATAAAAAATGTGGTTGGCTTTTTGAATAGTGGCGAAGTTTTATTGGCCTTAGAGAATTCTAGGTTAGTTGTCTATAATTCAGAGACTAAGCAGACTAAAGATCTTGGAGTCTATGGAAAGTTTTTTATATATAATTATGTGGAAAGTTTGCTCTTGCTTAGAGGACATATGTAGTGGAGGCGAGTTAGATACGGTGATGTAATAACACAGAATGGGATAAGCTTTTTGGTGAATAGTAGCCGAAACAAATTGAACACCGTAGATGGGATGTAAACGAAGGGCATTTCAGGCAAGAAGACTTTAAATTATTCTATGCAACTCTTATTGTTTTGAGTTAGATATCACTTGATCTTGATATTATTACAATATTTTGCATTTCGATTTTTCTGCGTATTGAGCTCCTCTACATTTTGTCAATGATTTATTTCTCGTTTTATAGGCTCGATAAAATGAGTTCAAATTTGTTGAAAATAATTCGGCAGAGGAGAAAATATATTATACTGTCTATGTATCTAAATAGGTGCATGCATATGAAAATTTATCGACCTTATATTTGAGACGAAGAAAGAGCATTCTTTACTGATGGAAAAAAAAGATCTGCATCTTATTTTTTGATGTATACTAGTTAAATTTTATATTGTGATGAAAGATCAATAGAATATATGAAACACAGTTTTTGCCTGCAAAGGGAGACAATATATTAGTTTTTTTAACGACGGTACGATGATAGGAAACGATTTAAAAAAAAAAAAGATAAATAATCGGAAATCAAATTTTATATCTCAACACATGGGATGTAATTAGCCATATCTGCAAAAACTAAGAAAATAATGGTTAGATAAGTAAAATATATCTCAGGAAAAAATAATAATTTGGTGGATAAGGTGTCGGTTTTCAGTCGGCGTTTTGACGGGCTGAACTCCATAGTAGACTTGTCCATCTTAATCTACTGCTCCGATGTCCTCGCGTATTGGCTCAAAATATTTTTCAAAGTTATGGTGTCTTCTACCGAGGCCTCACCAAAAAAGAGTCTCGTCTCCAAAACATAAATTCGCAACAATAGGGGCAGCCGGAGCTATCCGAATCCCATGAAAATTCCCATTATCGAAGCCTAGGTGCAGTAGATACAAAGATATGGTGAGAGGGGGTCACCCTGCCGAAGACCTCTCTTCAGAACCCCCGAGCCAAATTGAGAATCATTAAAAAGAAATAAGAGACGGTAGACACACAAAGTCGTATAATAATCTCAACAAAATTACGAGGGAGGCCAAAGCGGACAAGTTTTTGTTTCTATAAAAAGCCACTCAATCTGATCGTAAGCTTTGCTGATATTAAACTTAATGGCTTAATCCCACATTGCACCCTTAAAATGGAGTCTTTTGAAACTTTCCACTCTTGAAAAATGATAATAGTAATTTGCACTCTCAAAACACAATAAATCATTCACAATTCACCCTTAATTGAATAATAAATGATTATTCATTTTTTATTGATTTTTTTTTTCCGGGGTGCAAAATAACGTCAAATGAAATTATTATTTTCTTCAACCTCCAATCTAATTTCGGGCGCACAAAGAGCAAAACAATAAAAATCACACCGTATAACTGGAAAAAAAAATATATTCATACAAAATAAAATCAAATAAACTTTTATCACTAAATTATTCGATTGATAGATCGTTTATTGTAATTGGTGGAAATATTAGGTAGAAATATTTTGAAGAAAATAATATTTTCAGATAACTTAATAACGAAATAGCTGAAGAATTTTGTTTTCCCGAAAAATATTTATTTATGATAGAAAATATAATTTTTAAATACAACTAAAAATATTAAATTACTTTTATTAGCTTTAAAAACTCATGCGATGTTTCATTATGCATGAAGATATTGTGTTTCGATGGTGCAAAGTGCTATTAATTTGTTTCAAATGTGCAAAATGCCAAAATAGTATATTTTAAGGGTGGAAAGTGGGATTAAGTCTAAATTTGAATTTGAATTTGATGAAGTGGCTAACCTCGTAAGCAAAAGTTGTTTGAGTGGGGAAGATTAGGTCATTCAAAAGAGGCTATAAACAATTAACAATTATTTTGGAACCAATTTTATAGACAACATCACAGAGGCTAATAGGACGGTATCGGCAATTCTTTCAGGATTTTTCTTTTTTGGAATAAGAACAATATAGGTAGGGCTCGACATGGGCTGGCTCGGACAATTATCGGCCAATTACCTACCCAAATTAATCTATCAATTTTACTGAATATTGAAAACCATTACTGGGCCGATCATTATGGGCTGGGTAATAGTTGGAAACCAACTTTATTTAGTGGAAAATTGGTTGAATGGTTGGTGTTATGGACCATCTAATTATTGATATTTTTGTTTTTTTACAATCATAAGATTTTATTCTATCAAAATCCTCCCCACGGAAATATTATTTTGGTTGCACTTTGCCGCAAAAGACAATTTTTGATGGGATCGTGCAACAAAAATAACATTTTAAAAGGCTAACGTGCTGAAAAATATTATTTTTAAATCGGACAGTTTGCAGCAAAAATAACATTTTAAAAGGATAACGTGCTGAAAAATAATATTTATAAATGGGGCAGCGTGCAGTAAAAATAACATTTTAAAAAGGGCAACGTGCAACAAAACACACCCCATTGAATTACCCATCAAAATTTTGCTATAGGACAATGTGCAACAAAAATAATATTTTAAAGGGGGACATTCACTTCTTTTAAATTTAGAGAGAGTAAAATGCGAAAATTATAAATTTATAGGGGGTCATGTGCAATTTGCCCTCCTTTTAATGCCCAGAAAAATGAAAATACAGAGTGTTGTCAACTTCCCCAAATCTCTACCCTAGAAAGAAGAATTTCATCAGTGAAAAATGAAAATACAGAGTGTAGTCATGCTTACAAGGTTGTGAGGCTGGTTTATTTCGTATACCGTAGCTACTTCACTCCGAAAGTCGAGATATTCTCGCCCGAGACAATGAGGTGGCGGAGGGTGCGCGGAGTTGATGTTACACTCCGGGCTTATTCGAATATGTACTGTCAAGTTTTCTTTAATGGGGTTGTCCATTGGCTCTCCGAAAAAGAACCGATCGATTACAGTAATGCACGACTTAGTTCAATTTTGGCCTTTGACATTGACAATGAGGTGTTCGGTGAAGTAATGTTGCCACGCGAGTTGGCAAATGCAAGTAAACTACCGACTCTGCGCATCTTCGTGATTGGGGAATCGCTCGGTGTGGTCAAGTACGTTGGGTGCGCGTGTGATGTATGGGTGATGAAGGAGTACTGCGTGGAAGAATCTTGGACGATAGTAGGCGGGTTAAGGATCTTGGAATCTATGGGACTATTGCTGTCGTTCTACGTACGTTGATAATTATGTCCAAAGCTTGCTTTTGCTTGGACGACAGGTTAATTAAATGGCTAATGTATAACTTAAAATGGAGAACTATCAATTTAAGAAAGTTTGATTATTTTTGACGGGGATGAAATCGAAAGGCATGTTTACGGGAAAGTTAAATCTACCCACCGAAATTAGTCAAATGGGGTTTTTCGTTATTTATAGATTACAGAGTAGTAATTTTTGCAGGTTAATCGATTGAAATTAGTCAAATGTGTATCAAGAACTCGCACACGTCTTGTTTGGTTCTAGAGGATTAGGCGCTACCGATGATTAATCCCGCCTTATGTTGTGTTTGTTTAGTTGCTTTCGTTGGAATCTGATGTTGATTGAGATGATAAGATTCACAAGAACCCAACATGCATCTTATGTGGTTGATCCTAGATTTTTTTTAAATAATTTATTTTTCATCCTCCTATTTAATTAGCCTTTTACATTTTTATTCCTTTTCATGATGAAGATGATCTCAGTTATGAATATGCTTAAGCGTTCAGATTTGGAAAAATTACAGTGTTCGTTCCTCAAGTTTGCATCAATTACACATTTGGTCCATCGTGTTCATGAAAAACACAATTGGTCCCTTGTGTTTTTAAAATTCAACACTTTTAGTCATTTTCGTTAATGTTCCGTTAGTAATAACTGAATCAAGTGTGTACCCATCACTACTTTAACTGACGAACTAACGGTAAATTGACGGAAATGACCAAAAGTGTTAAATTATTGAAACATGAGGGACCAAATATATTTTTTGTGAAAATGAGGGACCAAATGTGAAATTAATGCAAACTTGAGGGATGAAAACAGTAATTTTCCCGTTGAGATTTAAATAGTTAGGTAGACAAGAGATTAGTTTATCCAATGGAATGTTTCGGTTGTGCCATTCTTTGGATGTAGTATGCTACAAACGGAGAAAACTGCGATGTGCTTATTATTTTCGCAGTATGGTTTTAGTTCGGGCTGGGATTGGTAGTTATCGCTAGGGGTGGTTTCGTTATGGTTGTCGAATATTTTGATCAATACCGTGTACCTACCGAATTATATGGTATTGAAAAATTCGCTACCGTTGCCGTACCAACAAGTGCGGTATACCGTTATTCGGTATACCGTTACTTTCGGTACGGTATATCGGTACATGGTACTCTACCGTTAATCGTTACTTTGAAGACGATCTTTATAAAAACACAACACTTTAAACAAGAATATTGGCTATTTATATGATCTTATTCAATTTTTCAAAGCTACTTGATTATTTATCAAACTTCAACTTCATTGATTTAGCCACACCTTGCAAAATAAGATTATTAGAGTCATGATTTTTTTTTTCAATCACAATTTGAAGCCATACTATTTCGGTGAAAACCAAATGGGATGTACGCCTTTTTGTTGCACTAATTAAGATTCAATATTGTCCCATAAATTTTTAAGAATTGTATTTTAACTTTTTTTAAGTTTTGACATATTTATTTTATGTAGTAATTTCAATTTTATTTAATTATTAACTAATATAAAATAAATATATATTAATTAAATTATAAAATTCAAATTTGTGGTACGGTACAGAATTACCATGGTATAGAAAATACAATACCGTTACCGTACCGTATAATTGTGGTACGGTACAAATACCGTACCAAATGTAGTGGTTACCGAAGTTTCGGTAATTTTTCGGTATTGTTTGGTAGGTATACCGTGGTATTAGGTAGACGGTAATTATTTTCCAGCCCTAGTTACCGCTATGTTGTTTGGTACGATATTAATATTGTACCGATACTCCCAAGACCGGCATCCAATTTCAATTCCTTTGTGCTTCGTCCTTGTAAATTTTGCATGTTGTAAGCTTAATTTGAGCACGATTTAAACTCGTCATTCGAAATAATTTAAGATTCGATGTTAGCCTACAAACATAAAACCCAATAATATTTGAGTTTGATTTATAGTCTTAGAAGCCAAACTGTATAGGGTAAACAATATAAACCCTCTATGTTAAGGAAAATCTGCGCCAAATATCCCTGTGTTTTTTTTTTTCTTGCATAAAATTCCTATTTATCTTAATAGTTAACATCGCTATAGAGGGGATTTTATGCAAGTTTTTATAACATAGGGGAATTTGGTGTATAGTTTCCAACACAAGGATGGCATATGCAAAATTAAATTATTCATTTAAAATTCAAATTATTTTCTTAAATTAAGTCGCATACATCTATTACTTTAAAATATGAAAACTAAAAAGTAATATTCGAGATGGAAGTTAGAACGAATTCTCAAATTATTCATATTCTTTTCACATATATTAATCCAAAATAAATTATAAAATATATAATAATTCTAATAAATACATAAGTAAATAACATTCACCACACCTATTAAATTTCAATTTTTCCTATAGTAACTGAATAAATGTGTTCGACTTAATTTAAGAAAATAATATGAACTTTAAACGAATAAACTGCTTTTGCATAAAACTCCCTTGTATTATAGAAGGTATGCCCTAAATCCCCCTATGTTATAAAAAAATCGCATAAAAATCCCCTTTGTGGTTAACCGCATCAATTTTTAACGGAAAAGGGGATTTCATGCAAAATAAAATGAAACACAAGCGGGTTTAACGCGCGCAAAAAAAAAAAGTTGAATTTGGCGCATGTTTTCCCTAATTATGAATTGTGGATATATATATATATATATATATATATATATATATATATATATATATATATATATATATATATATATATATATATATATATATATATATATATATATATATATATATATATATATATATATATATATATATATATATATATATATATATATATATATATATATATATATATATATATATGTGTGTGTGTGTGTGTGTGTGTGTGTGTGTGTGTGTGTGTGTGTGCGCGCGCGCAGGGGCGTACCCATGCCTTTGGCTGGGGTGGCCCCCGCCCCCCCAAGATTTATTTTTAAGCTGTTCCTTTTTTTTTTTTGTATTTATGTATTAGGTAATGTACTTTCGCTCCCCAAATTTTTAATTTTGTCATTTTAGTCCTCAAAAACAAAAAAAAAAATCATCTCTTAAATTACCCCTATATTTCAGCCCCTAAGAAAATCCCCTAGGTTCGCCCCTGTGTGTGTGCGCACGTGCGTGTGTTACATAGTATATGGTAAGAAGAAATAGAAGAGTCGTGAGATATAGTGGGTTTTGTAGTTGTGGCACTGGCGGAACTACAATAAGGCAAGGGGGCTGTTGTCCCCCCATAATTCTTTTTTTTTTTACTACTATTATATATATATATACTAATATTTATAGATATTGAATAGATATATATACAAATAACTAGTAATTGGTTGATATATTAAGGGCTCGTTCGGTTACCTATATTGGATTAGATTGTATTAAATGAGATTGGATTAACTCCTTATTGGCTAATTAATTATTTAGTTAGTAGCATGTTCGGTTTATTAGATTAGATCTTCTATTAAATTTGTTAAATTCAGTTATTAAATATGAATTGTCTATAAAACCAATTAGTTTAAAATAATACGATATGGTTTTAAGGATAAAATTGTCTTTTTTTCCTTTTTAGTCACCCCTATTAAATTAATCTCTGGGGGAAGGGTGCTACTAATTTTGTGCAATAGTAGCCTTTAATAGCGGGCTCTGATTTTAGTAGCGGGTTTGAAAAAGTGTGAATCTTGTCAACCGGACGTGTTATTAGCCCCTATTATTTAGTCAGTAGAACCTTATAGCGGTAGCCGAACGAGCCCTATATAACTTTTATCTACTATTATATATTGATTTTTTTATTTACATATATTTATATATGGCCCACATTAAAAAAATAAATTATTATTTCCACCTTTTAAATTTAATTTTCTTTTATAATTTATCCTATTAAATATTTTTACAATCTCAAGCCCTAATCTCTATTAAAGCTTATGATAAAGAAAATAAAATAACATACAAAAGAAAGTAATTTTTTTTTTCTTTTCAATATTTAAAGTTTTCACTCTATCGAATTTCTATGGATTTCAAGATTTTATTTTTTAAGACACTTTTACTTATTCAACTAAATGTTACTATATTGCAATTTATTTTATATAAGTTTATGAATATTGTTTTGACAAAAAGTTCTATTACTCATAGGGGTGAAGTCGGATGGATCGGATCGGAATTAACGTTTTCGGAAAATTTCCAAAAAGTTTCGGAAGTACAAAATCAGTTCCAATTCCAATTCCAAAATTTTCGGAATCTAAAAATTAATTCCAATTCCAAAAGGCCCGGAAATTTCGGAATTTCGGAAAAAAATCGGAAGTCACATTAGTTTAAAATTTTCAATACATAGCGAAAATTTTCTAAAATGTTCACAATTTTCAAAAAATAAAAACGTCCACGTCGATAAAAGTAAAACTAATAACTACTAAAATTTAGTTCAAAAAAAAATAAAAGTGAACACAACATAGTATCTAATAAAACTTCTAACAACAACTCATTATGTCAAAATCCTAAAACAAAATTTATAGGTGTATTTTTCGGAAAAATAAATATTGTAAAATATTTATTATTTATAGGTGTATTTTTGGAAAAAAATCGGAATTTTTCGGAATTAATTTCGGAAATCAAATCGGATCGGAAATCGGAAATTCCAAATTTATTTTATATAATTCCAATTCCAATCCAAAAAAATCGGAAAAAATCGGAAATCGGAATTTCGGAAGTCGGGATGAAAAAAGTTGTTTCAAAATCGGAACTCTTCGGATCGGAACCGGCGGAAATTGGAATTTCCGTTCCAACTTGCACCACTAATTACTCATTACTCATTTGTGTTGGTTTTCTTCATAAATATCCCTAAAAAAATTCGGGGTGCTGGCCCCGAACCCCGGACATATTTTTATGAATTCTCTAAACTTTTCGGCCTCCCCTACCGAAAAATCCTGGTTCCGCCCCTAGTTGTAGGACTCTTCTTAAGTTAGGATTTCTTCCTAAGTCTGTATAAATACAAAGGACGGTTCAAGGAATAAACCGGCTGTTGGTTAGGGTTTTGTTATTGTTTCAACTTTGAGCTTTCATCGGTAAATTAAACCATGTCGTCGAATAACGTACCGACAGACCTTCTGATAGAAATCCTCCAAAACCTGCCTGTTAAATCCTTAATCCGCTTCGCCGCCGTCTCCAAATCATGGCGGTCGATTATCACCAGCGCCGCCTTCATGGCTTCCCACCTCTCAAAAGGTAAAAACCATACCCATACCCTAATCCACACGGAAGGAAAAAATTCATTGGTTAAATTCACTGCAGATGGACCCTTTGCTGTCGATTCTCCCTCAAAACTCGAATTTCCCTACTACAAACCACACAGCATTTATTTAAGAATAGTAGACTCTTGCGATGGGCTTGTGTGCTTATCGAATAAATCCTTCATGATTTTTCCGCAATCACGTGGCGTTATATGGAACCCCTCTGTTAGAAATCATGTAGTTTTACCCGACCCTACTATCAATCCGAAAGACGCCTACATTTCTGTACTCGGTTTCGGAGTTGATGCAGGTCGTACCCACCACAAGGTAGTGAGGTTTGTTTACTGCAGAAACGCGGCCGGTATTTTTACGACACGGGTTGAGATATTTTCCCTCAAGACATGGAGTTGGCGGATGTTGATTGGTGGAGTTGATCTTACTCTGGGCGCTTATCCAAGTCTGTTACGTCAAGTTTTCTTGAATGGGGTTGTGCATTGGCTCATCGAGGAAAAACCGATCGGTGACAATAGTTTTCGTCGTAGTTATGTTTTGGCCTTTGATGTTGGAGATGAGGTATTCGATGAAGTGATGTTGCCAGAATGGGAGGCGGGTGGTTCAGGTTTCGCAAAGTTGAGTATTTTCTTGATTAACGAATCACTCGGAGTTGTCAAGTCAACTGGCGAGTCGTGTGATGTGTGGGTGATGAAGGAGTACTGTGTGAGAGAATCTTGGACTAAGTTATATACCATTCGTTTGTTTGAAAAGATAGAAAATGTAGTTGCCTTTTTGAATAGCGGCGAAGCTTTATTGGCCTTAGAGAATTCTAGATTAGTTGTCTATAATTCAGAGACTAAGCATCCTAAAGATCTTGGAATCTATGGGACTCCGCCCTCGCTTTATATGTATAATTATGTCGAAAGCTTGCTCTTGCTTAGAGGACGGACATATTAGTGGAGACGAGTTAGATACGGTGATGTAATAGCTTAGAAATATGGGAGAAGCTTTTTGGTGAATAGTAGCCGAAACAAATTAAACACTGTTGATGGGACGTAAACGAAGGGCATTTCAGGCAAGACTCTTATTGTTTTGAGTTAGATATCACTTGATCTTGATATTATTACAACAATTTGCATTTCTATTTTTTTGCGTATTATATTGAGCCTCTACATTTTGTCAATGATTTATTTCTCGTTTTATAGGCTCGATAAAATGAGTTCAAATTTGTTGAAAATAATTCGGCAGAGGAGAAAATATATTATACTGTCTATGTATCTAAATAGGTGCATGCATATGAAAATTTATGGACCTTATATTTGAGACGAAGAAAGAGCATTCTTTACTGATGGAAAAAAAGATCTGCATCTTATTTTTTGATGTATACTAGTTAAAGTTTATATTGTGATGAAAGATCAATAGAATATATGAAACACAGTTTTTGCCTGCAAAGGGAGACAATATATTAGTTTTTTTCACGACTGTACGATGATAGGAAACGATTGAGAACAAATAAACGATTTAAAAAAAACAAAAAGATAAATAATCGGAAATCAAATTTTATATCTCAACACATGGGATGTAATTAGCCATATCTGCAAAAACTAAGAAAATAATGGTTAGATAAGTAAAATATATCTCAGGAAAATATAATAATTTGGTGGATAAGGTGTCCGTTTTCAGTCGGCGTTTTGACGGGCTGAACTCCATAGTAGACTTGTCCATCTTAATCTACTGCTCCGATGTCCTCGCGTATTGGCTCAAAATATTTTTCAAAGTTATGGTGTCTTCTACCGAGGCCTCACCCAAAACATAAATTCGCAACAATAGGGGCAGCCGGAGCTATCCGAATCCCATGAAAATTCCTGTTATCGAAGCCTAGGTGCAGTAGATACAAAGATATGGTGAGAGGGGGTCACCCTGCCGAAGACCTCTCTTCAGAACCCCCGAGCCAAATTGAGATCATTAAAAAGAAATAAGAGACCGTAGACACACAAAGTCGTATAATATTCTCAACAAAATTACGAGGGAGGCCAAAGCGGACAAGTTTTTGTTTCTATAAAAAGCCACTCAATCTGATCGTAAGCTTTGCTGATATTAAACTTAATGGCTTAATCCCACTTTGCACTCTTCAAATTTTGTCTTTTGACACTTTGCACTCTAGAAAAATAATTATAGTAATTTCTACTCTCAAAACATAATAAATCTTTCACAATGCACCCTTAATTGAATAATAAATGACAATTCATTTTTTATTGATTTTTTTATTCCGGGGTGCAAAATAACGTCAAATGAAATTATTATTTTCTTCAGCCTCCAATCTAATTTCGAGCGCACAAAGTGCAAAAAAATAAAAATCACACCGGATAATTGAAAAAAAAATATATTCATACAAAATAAAATCAAATAAACTTGTATCACTAAATTATTCGATTGATAGATCTTTTATTGTAATTGGTAGAAATATTAGGTAGAAATATTTGGAAGAAAATATGATTGTCAGATAACTTAATAACGTAATAACTGAAGGATTTTTTGTGATAAAAAATATAATTTTTAAATACAATGAAAAATATTAAATTACCTTTACTTAGCTTTAAAAACTGCTCATGTGAGATGCATTATGCATGAAATATTGTGTTTCGATGGTACAAAGTGCTATTAATTAATTTGGAGGGTGCAAAGTGCTAAAATTGTATATTTCAAGGGTGCAAAGTGAGATTAAACCTAAACTTAAAGTTCCCACAACCTCTCAATTTGAATTTGATGAAGTGGCTCATAAGCAACAAGAATATTATCAGTAATAGGTCGCATGTGAATAAAAGTTGTTTGAGTGGGGAAGATTGCGTCATTTAAAAAAGGCTTTAAACAATTAACAATTATTTTGGAACAAATTTTATAGACAACATCGCATAGGCTAATAGTGCGGTATCAGTAATTCGTTCGGGGTTTTTCTTTTTTGGGTTAAGAACTATATAGGTAGGGCTCGACATGGGTCGGGTCGGACAATTATCGGCCAGTTACTTACCCAAACTTACCAATAGATTTTACTAAATATTGAATACCATATTACTAGCCCGACTTTGTGAGGTAATAGTTGGCAACTGACTTTATTGGGTGAAAAATGGGTTGGATGGTTGGTGTTATTGGCCATCTAATTATTGATATTTTTGTTTTTCTACAATAACGATAAAAATCCTCCCGAAATATTATTTCGGTTGCACTTTGCCCCAAAAGTCAATTTTTGTTGGTCATCGTGAAACAAAAATAACATTTTAAAAGGGTAGCGTGCTGAAAAATAATATTTAAAAAGGTCAACGTTCGACAAAGATACTCAACTCTAGTGAATTACTCATTAGAATTTTGCTATAGGGCAATCAGCAATGTGTAACAAAAATAACATTTTAAAGGGGACATTCACTTCTTTTAAATTTAAAGGGAGTAAAGTGAGAAATTATAAATTTATAGGGGGTCATGTGCAATTTGCCCTTCTTTTAATGCCCAGAAAACTGAAAATACAGAGTGTTGTGAATTTCCCCAAATATCTACCCTAGAAAGAAGAATTTCATCAGTGAACAATGTCGGACTACTTTCCGGCAGATCTCCTCTCCGAAATCCTCGTTAAATTGCCAGTCAAAACCCTAATCCGATTCACCGCCGTTTCGAAATCATGGCGGTCGATTATCACCAGCGCCGCCTTCATCGCATCACACCTCTCAAACAACAGTGAGAATCAAACCCTCCTCCTCACGCGCCACGGTAAACACTGCAAGCTAGATCAGTTTTCACTGCTGAAAGCATCTGAAAACGGAAATTTTGGTATCAATTCCTCTTCGGAAATCGAAATTCCATTCGAATTCCCGATCGATTATTCCAGAATAGTTGGGTCCTGCGATGGGCTTGTGTGCTTATCCAATGATATGTTCTTTCGTAATCCTTCGATACCCAGTATTATTATATGGAACCCATCTGTTAGAAATCATATAGTTTTACCCAACCCCACTATCAATCCCATTGAATCCCACAATGTTGTACTGGGTTTCGGAGGACTTAGTAGTAATGTTTACAAGGTTGTGAGGTTGGTTTACGTCAGAAAAATCGACGATGTCGGCTGTTTGAGTGTTCCGCCGCAGGTCGAGATATTTTCCCTCGATGCACGGAGGAGTTGGCGGAGGTTGATTGGTGGAGTTGATGTTACTCTGTGGGCTCTTAAAAGTATGCATTGTCGAGCTTACGTGAATGGGGTTGTGCATTGGCTCGCCTACAAACCGTTCGATGAAAATCAACCTCGACGTTGTTCAATTTTGGCCTTTGATTTTGACAATGAGGTGTTTGGCGAAGTCATGCCGCCAGATGAGTTGGCAAAGGAGGCTTCTGTGAGCTTGGGTATTTTCGTGATTGAGGATTCACTTGTAATTGTCGGTTCGAATATGGTGTCGTGGAATGTGTGGATGATGAAGGAGTACTGCGTGAGAGAATCTTGGACTAAGTTGTATACGATTGATTTGTTGGAGGAGATTACAAATTTTGTTTGGTTTTGGAACAGTGGTGAAGCTTTACTTACCATACGTGATCTTGGGTTAGTTGTCTATAATCCAGAGACGAAGGAGACTAAGGATCCTGGAATCTACGGGGATCCATATTCGTTTTTTGTTGATAATTACGTGGAAAGTTTGGTTTTGGTTAGAGGGCATGGATAGTGGAGATGAGTTTAGTTATGCTGATGATGTAATAAACTTAGAATATCGGAGAAGCTTTAATTTTGGTGAAGAGTAGTCGAAACAAACACCGTTGGTGGGGATGAAAACGAAAGGCATTGCAGGCAAGACTTTAAATTATTCATTGTCGAACAACAAGTAGCTGAAACAAATACGGTTTGATGGGGATGAAAACAAACGTCATTTTGCAGGCCAGACTTTAAATTATTCTATGCTTTGAGTTAGATACCACTTGATCTTGTTATTATTATCGAGCGTTTTATATTTTTTGAACTGTTCTCTTTTATTTTCGTTATGACAAAGATTATTTCAGATCAGAATTGTTATTATATAGTACAGAGTATTCTGATATTTCAATTTCCCATATAATTTGTAAATTACTGAAGATATTGCTATGGGAACACCTGAAAGAAGATTTATTGAGAAACTTTGAGTATGTATTGGGATTCATGCCTTTGTTGAATGTGGGGGCCAGGTTTTTATGAATTAATCCAAAGGAGAGAGATTAAAATTTTGGGGGTTCAGTGGCATCGGCCCGAATTTTTTTTAGAGTAAAAAAGATGCAAAAAGGGTCAAAACTCATATTTTGGTTTCGGTTTCAATTTTGGTTTCGGTTATTAAGTAAAAAGTATATAAATTTACTTGAAAGAAAAGAGAAAAATTAAAAAAATAAAGGGTCAAAATTCATATTTACAAAAGATTGGGAGGCCAAAACCTATAATTTAAAAATATTACTCAAAATTACAATTTTTTTTTTTTTTTAATCTTGGGGGTCAACGGCCCCCTTGCCCCTCTTCTTATGGTCCACCATTGTTTCCCCATTGCTATGAAATCGCTGAGCTCTGAAGGTGAGGAGGATATGTTAAAAGAAAATTCGGAAGAAGAAGAAATCAAGAGGAGAGACACACCGGGTCTTTTTTTGCAAATTGTTTAACCCAAGGACATTTTTCTGCAATAGGGGTACCAATTGCAATTAACATTTTTTTTTTCTTTTTTTGCAAAATGTAGGAATAAACTAGAATTGGGCCTAGATCATAAATAATTTTTAAGAAATGATTGAAATAGCATGGTCATGTGCCTCCACAAATGCTTTTCCATCAAACCAACTCCAAAATCAAACACGGATGGAAAGTGTAGAAAAGACGAATTATTTGAGGACTAGTTTCGTGGCATAAACAAATTAAGGACCAAACTACAATAAAAATGTATAATATAGGAACTAAAACTGTAATTATCCTCTTATATTTATAAGTATGAACTATGTCACACTACCTATTTGGAGATAATTACACTTTTCGTCCGTATACTTGATTACTCATTCGTTTTTGTCCCTAAACAAATTGGAGTAACATTATTCATCGCTAAACATGCCATTTTGCTGTTGTTTTCGTCCATCTGTCAATTCGTCTGGTTAGTTTGGTGGAAAGCAACAAGTGCTTCGCACATGATACGCAAGAGAACCCCCCCTTCTTCAACTTCTGATTGCATCTTGAATTAGAACCTAACTTGCACTTTTTCGAATCCCTAATTCATTCGTATACTACCTCTTTGAATCCTTAAATTGCCTCCGTAACCCCCTAAACACAATTTGTAATGCAATTTGTACTTTGAATAATGTGTTTCTTTGAAGGGAATATATTAATTAGGGGAAAGTACAGTTTGCACCCCTGAACTATGAGTCATGTCATAAACACCCCCTAAACTACAAAATGTAACAAATCAACCCTTCCGTTTCAAATCCGTTTGTCTATGCTGATGGGCCTGTTGACTTTTACTTTTTTAATAACTTTTATTGTTGTTGAATTTCTTTTGACTATTTTACCCCTTGGTATCATGTGCTATATGTGTATATATATCTATACGTATATATACCTGTTTGTTTTCCATTTTAATTTTGAAAACTAAATAAAACCATTAATATTAAAAAATCGATTGAATTTTAATTTTCGCCCAAATTCAAAAAAAATTCAAAAACAAAAACTTCTGAAAATTCTTGGGCTGATTTCGCTAGCAGTACAATTGAGCAGATGCATCTCAAAGTCGAAGTAGGAAAATTTAGAAAGAGATTTTGCAGAAAGAAAGAGAAGATTCACAATTAATCTTAGGCAATGGTGAATGAGGAGAGAGAGAGAGAGGACTGATGTAGGAACTTCTTTGGGTGAAGACAGTGATTCCATTCTCGACGAGTGTGTAGTCGATTTGGCAGTCGAAGATGGGGCTGCGGAGTTACGATGTGATTGAACAGTCGGCGCGTGTGACGGAGCTTTGGCTGCTACGGCAGGGGCCGACGAGTGGTGTGTAATCGGACATATGGATGGAGAACGAGACATCAACAGCCTCAAATCCTTGCTTGCACAATTAAACTTAACGGTGTCATTGTTTTTAACGTTGACCCAAAATATTAAGAGCTATTTCATTACGTTTTGTAGTTCAAGGGGTGTTTGAGACACACCCTATAGTTCACGGGTACAAACTGTACTTTCCCCTATTAATTAATATATTTTTGGTATGTTGAACGAAATTTATAATATGTTAAGATACTTAACTAGAATTCTTTATTTTGTTACATGTTATTGATTTAATGGATTTGCAATTGTCTAAACTTTCATTTAGATTGCCTACCCTCCTGTGTTTATAAGGCTATATATATATATATATATATATATATATATATATATATTAAATGGTCTGATACCATTTTCGACCAGGTAAAATCAAAACCATACCAAGACCGTGACGATTTGTATTTCTTTTACCAAAATTATTATCAAACCCTAATGGATTTGGTAACGGTTTTAAATGGGTCGGATACCCACGGGTAGCTAGCGGATCAGGCTTTTTTACCATCCCTAGTTCCTAATAGGGCAAATCCCACTCTCCTCTCTTAGAATTTGGTCCGGTATCACTTTTCTCCATTCTATTCTCGATTGCATCGATTTTCCTCCCTCAACTTGAAAAATTGTCTTAAAATGGCCCTCACAGTTAATTTTCAGACATTTGTTCTTAACACCGCTCGGTTCAAAGTCTGAAAATTGCAACAACGCCACCCCTCCCAGTCTCAAAAAAAAAATAATAATAATAAAAAATAAATATTAAATAATGAAAAAATGAATTTCTGGTGATTGAGCCCCATGTGATACTTTCCCATGTCTTGAATTTTTATGTTCTTTTTTTATTCTTTTTCTTTTTTTTTAAATGAATTTCGGAAACCGGCGATGGAAAATACAAAACAGAAAAAAAATTTATCGAAAAGTTAACGCCGGAAACCAGCGGCAAAAAATTAATTGCTGAAAAAAAAAGTTATAAAAAAAAGACAAAATTAGATTTTTGTGGTCAAAATTGATTAAATTGGGGTTCCAATTAAGATTTTGGTGTAAAGGGTTGGAGCCTTGGAGGTATGTTGTCATATACATTAATTTTTCATTTATTTATAATACATATTAAATGGATGGGCTTATTGGCGAAAGAGATATAGCCTCTGAACGTACAATAATAAATATGGTTGGTCACGGACTTATGCATAAAACCCCCATGTGTGTTAAAGAAAACCTGTGCCAAACACCCCTGTGTTTTTGTTTTCTTGCGTAAAAACCTCATGTGATTCATTGTTTCTTGCATGAAATCCCCATTTCCATTAATAGTTTACACCATTATAGTGGGAATTTGATGCAAGTTTTTTGTAACATTAGAGAATTTGGGGCATGGTTTTCGCAACACAAGGAGGCCTATGCAAAATTAATTTATTCATTTAAAGTTCAAATTATTTTCTTAAATTAAGTCGCATACATCTATTAATATAAAATATGAAAACTAAAAACATATTCGAGATAGAAGTTGGGACGAATTCTCAAATTATCCGTATTCTTTTCACACATAATTAATCCAGAATAAATTATAAAAATATATAATAATTCTAATAAAATATTTATATATTTTGAAAACTCAAAATATTTAAATACATTAATAAATTGTATCATATAAAAATTGATTTAAAAAAAAAAATTCACCATACCTAGCAGTGAAAGTCGGATAGATCGGATCGGAATTAGACTTTTCGGAAAACATCCAAAAAAAAATCGGAAGTACAAAATCAATTCCAATTCCAATTTCTAAAATTTCGGAATCAAAAAATTCATTCCAATTCCAAAAGGCCCGGAAATTTCGAAATTTCGAAAAAAGAAATCGGAAATCACATGACTATTAAAATTTCAAAACTTAGAGGGAATTTTATGAAAATTTCATAATTTCCAAATATAAGAACATCCACGTCGATAAAAGTAAAACTAATAACTACTAAATTTAAGTTCAAACAAATAAATAAAAATAAACCACATCATAATATTTAATAAAACTTCTAACAACAATTCAATATGTCATAATCCTAAAACAAAACTTAAATTAAATTATTGTTTCAGAAAAAAAAATTTAATTTATATATAATATACATTATGTATATGTATATTTTTCGGAAAACAAAAATAGGAATTTTTTGGAAAAAATCGGAGTTTTTTGGAATTAATTTAAAATAAATCAGATTGGAAATTGGAAATTCCAATTTTTTTATATATATAATTCCAATTCCAGAAAAGATGTTCCAAAATCGAAACTTTTCGAATCGGAACCGGCGAAAATTGGAATTTTCATTGCAACTTGCACCCCTAACCACATCTATTAAATTTCTATTTTTTCAATTGTAAGTGAATAGATAGATGTGTTCGAGGGGGTTTTATGGTGTTTATGAATTGTAGCCTACTAAAACTCGGATAATATGAACCTGATTATGACACCCATAATTTTAACCTAAATAAAATTAAAATTAATTTAAAGGGCCAAATAAATCTCTCCGGCTGTTCGTTAGGGTTTTGTTATTGTTTCAACAGAAACCATGTCGGATTACGTACCAACAGACCTCCTGATCGAAATCCTCCAAAAACTGCCGGTTAAATACTTGATCCGCTTCGCCGCCGTCTCCAAATCTTGGCGGTCGATTATCACCAGCGCCGCCTTCATCGCTTCCCACCTCTCAAAAGGTAAGAACCATACCCTAATCCACACGCTATCAACAAATTCATTGGTTAAATTCACTGGAGGTGTACCCTTTGCTGTCAATTCTCCCTCAAAACTCAAATTCCCCTACTACGAATCACGCAGCATTTATTTAAGAATAGTAGACTCTTGCGATGGGCTTGTGTGCTTATCGAATAACTTCTTCAAGATTAGTTTTGCGCAACCACCCGGCGTTATATGGAACCCGTATGTTAGAAATCATGTAGTTTTACCCGACCCTACTATCAATCCGAAAGACGCCTACATTTCTGTACTCGGTTTCGGAGTTGATGCCGGTCGTTCCCACCACAAGGTAGTGAGGTTGGTCTACTGCAGAGACGCGGCCGGTATTTTTATGACACAGGTTGAGATATTTTCCCTCAAGACATGGAGTTGGCGGAGGTTGATTGGTGGAGTTGATCTTACTCTGCATGCTTATCCAAGTCTGTATTTTCGTCAAGTTTTCTTGAATGGGGTTGTGCATTGGCTCATCGAGCAAAAACCGATCGGTGACAATAGTTTTCGTCGTAGTTATATTTTGGCCTTTGATGTTGGAGATGAGGTATTCGGTGAAGTGATGCTGCCGGAATGGGAGGCGGGTGGTTTGGGTTTCGCAAAGTTGAGTATTTTCGTGATTAGGGAATCACTCGGGGTTGTCAAGTTAACTGGCGAATCGTGTGATGTGTGGGTGATGAAGGAGTACCGCGTGAAAGAATCTTGGACTAAGTTATATACCGTTTGTTTGTTTGAAAAGATAGAAAATGTTGTTGGCTTTGTGAATAGTGGCGAAGCTTTATTGGCCTTAGAGAATTCTAGATTAGTTGTCTATAATTCAGAGACTAAGCAGACTAAAGATCTTGGAATCTATCGAAAGTTTTTTATACATAATTATGTGGAAAGTTTGCTCTTGCTTGGAGGACATATGTAGTGGCGATGAGTTAGATACGGTTATGTAATAACTTAGAAATACGGGAGAAGCCTTTTGGTGAAATAGTAGCTGAAACAAATTAAACACCGTTGATGGGGATGTAAACGAAGGGCATTTCAGGCAAGAAGAATTTAAATTATTCTATGCAACTGTTATTGTTTTGAGCTAGATATCACTTGATCTTGATATTATTACAATATTTTGCATTTCGATTTTTCTGCGTATTGAGCTCCTCTACATTTTGTCAATGATTTATTTCTCGTTTTATAGGCTCGATAAAATGAGTTCAAATTTGTTGAAAATAATTCGGCAGAGGAGAAAATATATTATACTGTCATGTGTATCTAAATAGGTGCATCAGTGCATGCATATGAAAATTTATCGAACTTATATTTGAGACGAAGAAAGAGCATTCTACTGATGGAAAAAAAGGTCTGTATCTTATTTTTTGATGTATACTAGTTAAATTTTATATTGTGATGAAAGATCAATAATGAAACACAGTTTGCCTGCAAAGGGAGACAATATATTAGTTTTTTCACGACAGTACGATGATATGAAAGGGTTGAGAACAAATACACGATTTAAAAAAAAAAAAAAGATAAATTATCGGAAATCAAATTTTATATCTCAACACATGGAATGTAATTAGCCATATCTGCAAAAAATAAGAAAATATAAAATAATGGTTAGATAAGAAAAATATATCTTAGGAAAATATAATAATTTGGTGGATAAGTTGTCGGTTTTCAGTCGGCGTTTTGACGGGCTGAACTCCATAGTAGACTTGCCATCTTAATCTCACGCTCCGATGTCCTCGCGTATTTTTTCAAAATATTTTTCAAAGTTATGGTGTCTTCTACCGAGGCCTCACCTAAAAAAGAGTGTGTCGTCTGCAAAACAAAAATTCGCAACAATAGGGGCCGCCAGAGTTATCCCTATCCCACAAAAATTCCGTTTATCTACTTCCTTTTGGACCATAGCTTTGAGAAGCCTAGGTGCAGTAGATACAAAGATACGGTGAGAGACGGTAGACACACAAAGTCGTAAAATAATCTCAACAAAATTAGACGGGCAAGTTTTTGTTTCTAAAAAAAAGCCATTCAATCTGATCATAAAGTTCCCACGACCTATCAATTTGAATTTGATGAAGTGGTTAACCTCATAAGCAACAAGAATATTATCAGTAATAGGTCGCTTGTGAACAAAAGTTGTTTGAGTGGGGAAGATTAGGCCATTCAAAAAAGGCTTTAAACAATTAACAATTATTTTGGAACCAATTTTATAGACAACATCACATATGCTAATATGGCGATCTCGGTAATTCTTTCAGGGTTTTTCTTTTTTGGGATAAGAACAATATAGGTTGGGGTCGACATGGGTCGGGTCGAATAATTATCGGCCAGTTACCTACCCAAACTAATCTGTCGATTTTACTGAATATTGAAAACCATTTCTAGCCCGACTATTGTCGGTTGGGTAATAGTTGGCAACCGACTTTGGTGGATGAAAAATGGGTTGGATGGTTGGTGTTATTGGCCATCTAATTATTGATATTTTTTGTTTTTCTACAACAACAATAAAAATCCTCCCCGAAATATTATTTTGGTTGCACTTTGCCCCAAAAGCCAATTTTCTGTGGGCATCCTGCAACAAAAGGGAAAATTACATTTTTCGTCCTCATACTTTACCCACTTTTTCAAAACTGTCCCTAAACATTTTGGAGTTACAATAGTAGTCCTTAAACATGCCATTTTTTGACAGAATTGGTCCGCCGTTAACTTTTGCAGTTAAGTTGGATGGAAAATGGCATGTGCCTCTCACATGTCTTCAATTTACAACACTACATGAAAATGGACTTTTAACAACACGCATTGCGTCTTGTTAAAACAGATTTTTCATAATTAAAATTTTATTGAAATTCGAAATTATATAAATTCCAAAAAAAAAAAATCGATATATATTGTTTTAAATTTTTTTTGAGAGATATATTTAAACAATTGAACATTGTTTTTAAAAAAAAATGAAATATTGCTTTCAAAATCAAGATTTTCGGAATTCAAATGAAAACATTGTTTCAAAATAAAATAAAAATTCGATCCGAATAGATAGGATAAGAAACCCCCATTTCAATCTTCACCCTAATTTAATAATGTAAAACTCGATAAATTGTTTCAAAATATTTTTAGAAGTATTGTCTAAAATAATAATAAAATATTTTAAAACCGGAATTTCTTGAATCCAAATGAAAATTATTGTTTTAAATGAAATAAAAATATGATCGTAATAGGCGGAGTAAGAAAACTCCGTTCCAATCTTCACCATTATTTAATAATCTAAAACTCGATTTTTTTTCAAAATAAATTCAGAAATATTGTTTAAAAAATCATAATATTGTCTAAAAAAAATAATATTTTGTTTTAAAATCGGAATTTTTGGAAATTGAATGAAAATATTATTTTAAAATAAAATAAAAATTCCATCAAACTAGGCAGCATAAGAAAACTCCTTTCAAATTTTCACCCATATTGAATGATTTAAAACTCGACATATTGTCTCACAATTTAGATTTTTGGAATTGACTAGAGGTGAATATTGGAATGGATATTTCTAATTCCCCAATTTCTATCGGGTTTTTTATTTTGGTTTGAAACGATATATTTTAATTGAGTTCCAAAAATGCCGATTTTTGAACAATATTTTAAAATTTTAAACTATATTTTGATTTTTTTTTTAAATATTTTCGAAATGAGTTGATTTTTTTGGAATTTACGAGATTTCAATTTTATATTAAATTTTAATTAAAATTAATAATTATGACGAATATGTTTTAACAAGACGCAATGCGTGTTGTTAAAAGTCCATTTCCATGTAGTGTTGTAAATTGAAGGCATGTGAGAGACACATGCCATTTTCCATCCAACTTAACGGCAAAAATTAACGGCGGACCAATTCTGTCAAAAAATGGCATGATTAAGGACTATTATTGTAATTCTAAAATGGTTAGGGACAGTTTTGAAAAAGTGAGTAAAGTATGAGGACGAAAAATGTAATTTTTCCATTAATAAGACGGATTTCACACAAAATAATTGTTAAAAGCTTATTTGGAAAAGAATTTGAAATAATAAGATGGGCGAGTCTTAAGTTTAATTTTTTTTCTTTAAAATAAAATGTTAAATACCGAGTGTTGTCAACTTCCCCAAATCTCTACCCTAGAAAGAAGAATTTCATCAGTGAACAATGTCGGACTACTTTCCGGCAGATCTCCTCTCCGAAATCCTCGTTAAATTGCCAGTCAAAACCCTAATCCGATTCACCGCCGTTTCGAAATCATGGCGGTCGATTATCACCAGCGCCGCCTTCATCGCATCTCACCTCTCAACCAACAGTGAGAATCAAACCCTCCTCCTCACGCGCCACGGTAAATACAGCAAGCTAGATCAGTTTTCATTGGTGAAAGCATCTGAAAACGGAGGATTTGGCATCAATTCCTCTTCGGAAATCAAAATTCCATTCGAATTCCCGATCGAGTATTCCAGAATAGTTGGGTCTTGCGATGGGCTTGTGTGCTTATCCAATGATATGTTCTTCCGTAATCCTTCGATACCCAGTATTATTATATGGAACCCATCCGTTAGAAATCATATAGTTTTACCCAACCCCACTATCAATCCGATTGAATCCCACAATGTTGTACTGGGTTTTGGAGGATTTTCTAGTAATGCTTACAAGGTTGTGAGGTTGGTTTACGTCAGAAAAATCGACGATGTCGGTTGTTTGAATGTTCCGCCGCAGGTCGAGATATTTTCCCTCGATACACGGAGGAGTTGGCGGAGGTTGATTGGTGGAGTTGGTATTACTCTGTGGGCTCTTAAAAGTACGCACTGCCGAGCTTACGTGAATGGGGTTGTGCATTGGCTCGCCTACAAACCGTTCGATGAAAATCAACCTCGACGTTGTTCGATTTCGGCGAAGTCATGCCGCCAGATGAGTTGGCAGAGGATGCTTCTGCGAGCTTGGGTATTTTCGTGATTGAGGATTCGCTCGGAATTGTCGGTTCGAATATGGTGTCGTGGAATGTGTGGATGATGAAGGAGTACTGTGTGAGAGAATCTTGGACTAAGTTATATACGATTGATTTGTTGGAGGAGATTACAAATTTTGTTTGGTTTTGGAAGAGTGGTGAAGCTTTACTTACCATACGTGATCTTGGGTTAGTTGTCTATAATCCAGAGACGAAGGAGACTAAGGATCCTGGAATCTACGGGGATCCATATTCGTTGTTTGTTGATAATTACGTTGAAAGCTTGCTTTTGGTTAGAGGGCATGGATAGTGGAGATGAGTTTAGTTATGCTGATGATGTAATAAACACCGTTGGTGGGGATGAAAACGAACGGCATTGCAGGCATGACTTTAAATTATTCATTGTCGGACTTGCGTAATTCAATTTTGCATGCCGTTTAAATCTCAATGCTCCTTTATATGGTCAAGATTTTTTCAGATTAATACGTACTTCATATTCATTGAGAGACTTAAGGGAAAATGGCCAAATGGGGCATAATAGAAGTGATGTTGTATGCACTAGAGGACTTTTCACATTGATCTGCGTTAGTGTAATCAATGTACCAATTTGATTGTGTGAACTTTGAGTCTTCACAAATACTTTGTTGTGATTTCCTGGAATATCCCTCAACAAATGCGGATTTTACCCTTGGGGGTAATTGTTATAGTATTGTTTTATGAGGGGTGTAATTGTAATATATTTTGTTGAAATAAAATATGATTGTTTTGTCCTAGATATTATTTATGAGGAGTTTTGTTGTAATACTTATCATTTAAATTGGCGCTAAATGTGATCCGACCCTATTACGGATGTAATATATAATACTACTCATTATTTTTAGGGGAAAATACAGTTTGGACCCATAACTATGAGAATGCGTTTGGATGGAGGGATTTGGAGGAGGATTTGATTTGGGGAAGTGATTTAAAATGACTTCAAATTTGGAGTCGTTTGAAATCTACACCAACTGCTCCAAAAACAATTAAAAATGAGGGGTGTGGATTTGAAATCCATCCTCAAATCCCTGAATCCAAAAAAGTCCAAGCAATTTGTTATTATGAATTTGAAAGCCTTCCATACAAATGGACCCGAGGGTTGTCTCAAATACCCCTTGAACTACAAAACGTAACAAAACGCCTGGTTCTTTGAAAAACTACCATCGATAATTTTTTTGTGAATGTACTTATTTGCCCTTAAATGTATTTAGAAAATTTGTACCAGCCCGACCCTGCCCAACGTTTCTTTCTCCCATCCAAACACCTCCCCACATCACGCCCATCCAAAGCTAGCGATATCCCAAAATTGATTGACCGGCCAAGTACAGGTGCAGGAATCGCATGCAGGCGGAGATCGGCGATCACGCCATATGATACGCAGATGGAAGTGGCAGAAAGGCTTGCTGAGGCCCCCCTATGAGAGGCGAGGAATGAGTTGGGGTTGACAATTGATAATCTAGGCGGGGGGAGGGGGAAAATCCTCTGGAAGCGAGAGAAAGGCTTGCTGAGGCCCCCCTATGAGAGGCGAGGAATGAGTTGGGGTTGACAATTGATAATCTAGGCGGGGGGAGGGGGAAAATCCTCTGGAAGCGAGAGGTGGTGGGTCTGCATTTGGTTACAATCGTTGTCCTAGAATTTGGTATGTGGTGGTTCTACTTTGAGAGGTCGAGTAAGAGGAAAAAGAGTGTGTGCAATGGGAGAAAAGATGCTATGGATAATGGTAATTGTGTGGAATGGGGGTTTGCTTGGTCCAAGATGAAAAAGCTCTATTTACGCATTTCTTTTATTAAAGTTCATTTTAGCTTAATTTAGTGTATTTGTTTGTAATATGAGTTAATAATAAATTTATTTTATTAATTAACTTCATTCAGTATATATATATATATATATATATATATATATATATATATATATATATATATATATATATATATATATATATATATATATATATATATATATATATATATATATCTATCTATATATATATATATATATATATATATATATATATATATATATATATATATATATATATATATATATATATATATATATATATATATATAATGTCAAAAGATATTACAATATGAAAAAAAAATGATTAAAAATAAAAAAAGTCAATTCACCACGTCATTACAAACAAACTGAGGGGGTATTTGAGACAACCCTTATAATTTATGGGTGCAAATTGTACTTTCACCTTATTTTTATTTGGTACATCGTTCTTGGTAGAAGCTATTCTTAAATCGCTATGTCAAAATTAGTAATTATGTTTCGGGATATAGATAAAAAAATTAAAATATCATTAAGAAAAATGAAAAAATCGGATACTGAAACTTTAAGGCATGTTTGGTAAGCTTTTGGGCTTCCGTTTCTATTTTATTTTGGAGAAAAGTGTTTTGGGAGAAGAATTTAGAAATAAAATAAAGTTTGTTTGTGTTTTGAGAGGAGACAATTTGTACTGTAGCAAGTCAACTCTTGTCTGAAAGGTGTTGGGAAAATGTATTTTGAAAGAAGAATATGAAAGATAAAGTGATTTTATTTTGTATTTTAGTGAAGACAATTTTCATTGTAGCGGTCAAATCATGTTTGTTAGAGAGAGAAATATTTGAATTTGTTTTGGGAAAAGTTTTTGAAAATATTACGACTTTTGCAATGAAAGTTCTTCGAATCCATTTGCAGCAATGCTCAACTCCACATATCATGTGCTCGACTGGCCAACTCTTCAAAACTTTTAGGTTGAATTCCTTGAAGGATATATCGGAGTCCCCATTGCATTCCTTGGATGCACAGTTCAATAGCTGATGTCTCAGGCAGTCGATCCTTGCAATTAAGACTCAAATTTCTCCAACGGTTGATGTAGTCGATGACAGGTTCCTTCTTCCACTGGCGGGAATTGGTGAGCTCAATCATGCTGACTGTTCTTCGAGTGCTGTAAAAGCGGTTGAGAAATTCTTCCTCTAAGTGCTTCGAACTATCGATGGAGTTTGCTCCCAAATCAATGTACCAATCAAACGCATTGTCTTTGAGCAATCGGACGAATTGCTTGACGAGGTGATCTCCATACGTGTCGGTATCATTGCAAGTCTCCGCGAAGTGTGCCACATGTTGCTTGGGGTTGCCTTTGCCGTCAAATTGTTGAAGCTTTGGAGGTATATAGCCCATTGGCATCTTTAGATCATCGATCCTTTGCGTGTATGGCTTGACATAGGTTGATGGCGACTTCGAGCTTTCTTCCAACTTGTCTTTGGTTGTTCTACTAATCAACGTCATCACTTGATCTACATGAATCAACCCTCCGGGGGAAACTTGAAGTTCTTGAGCTGGAGCCTTCTCATTTTCAACTCGCTATTGCTTTGTGGATGTCTCGACTTCGTCTTGAGCCTCTATCTGATTCTCCACAGCTTGACTAGCATCGGCTTTGTCCATCTTGTTGATCAACTTGGCAATTTGAGAATTTCGTTGTTGAACATGATTTGCGAGTTCCTCAATGGCCTTTGTTAAACTTGCAATTTGCTCTTCCATGGTTGTAGCGTTTGTTGTCATGACGGATGCCACCTCTGAATAGCTTGATGTTGAACGAGGCGTGGGCTGTGAAATCTCTCGTTTTGAACCTTCCACGTATGCGCTTGTATTGACAAGAGGTGGTAAGCCTTTCTGAATGGTTTTGGGCGTCGAGCTAGTCTCGGAGGATGCTTGCAGCTTTTTAGCCATACTCCTTGTAACTAAGCCCACACTTGATGAATCCGAAGTAGCAGACTTCATTGCGAACGTAGAGCAGTCACTGCAACACTTCGAGGATCTTCGAGAAAGTGAAGAGGTGAGAGGTAGAGATGTCCCACCGGGCATGCCAAAATTTGTAGCAACAAATTCTTATCTGCGATTTAGAAAAACAAGAAAAACTTGCACAAAAATAATTTATTGAATTAAAATAAAATATTGCGGGTTACAAACTCTAAATTAATCCTCTGATTCTTCTCTCAAGAAAAATATGCGTTTGACTTTGAATTTCGGAGTTGGGTCGTTAACTTGATCTAATTTGGATTTGAATAACGTCTTCCGAGGGTCTTGCTACTTGAATCTCGGATCGAACGCTGAACTTTGACGGGTTTTGACTTGAAGATCTTGGAGTTCTTGATGGATTTGGCCCTTCAATCTTCCTTCGATCTTGATTTGTTGAAGAGCGCCCTCGATTTGATGATGAACGCCTTGAATTTGATGAAAAACGACTTGAATATTGTAGAGAGAATTTTCTCCTACGGTTTTTCTTCTTCTTGAGTTGTCTTGCAATACAAGGTATAATTTAATTTAGACACAATTTAATTGGCTAATTTAATTAACCAATTAATTAATTTTATGCGTCTACAACGATAAAGATGATCTCAGTTATGAATATGCTTAAGCGTTCAGATTTGGGAAAATTACAGTGTTCATTCTTCAAGTTTGCATCAATTACACATTTGGTCCCTCATGTTCATGAAAAACACAATTGATCCCTCATGTTATGTTTTTAAAATTCAACACTTTTAATCATTTCCGTTAATTTTCGATTAGTACTAACGGAATCAAGTGTGTGTCCGTCACTACTTTAACTGACGAACTAACGGAAATTTGACGGAAATGACCAGAAGTGTTAAATTATTGAAACATGAGGGACCAAATGTGTTTTTTTGTGAAAATGAGGGACCAAATGTGAAATCAATGCAAACTTGAGGGATGATATCTGTAATTTTCCCGTTGAGATTTAAATAGTTAGGTAGACAAGAGATTAGTTTATCCAATGGAATGTTTCGGTTGTGCGATTCTTTGGGTGTAGTATGCTACAAACGGAGAACACTGCGATGTACTTATAATTTTGCAGTATGGTTTTAGTTCGGGCTGCGATTGCCATAGTTACCACTATGTTGTTTGGTATGATATTAATTAATATTGTACCGATACTCCCAAGAACTGCATCCAATTTCAATTCCTTTGCGCTTCGTCCTTGTAAATTTTGCAAGTTATAAGCTTGATTTGAGCACGATTTAAACACGTGATTTTAAATAATATAAGATTCGAGTTTTAGCCTAAAAATATAAAACCCCATAATATTTGAGTTTGATTTATAGTCTTGAAGCCCAATTGTACGTGAATTGTAGCCTACTAAAACTCGGATCATATGAACTGATTATCACCCATAATTTTAATCTAAATAAAATTTAAATTAATTTAAGGGTTGCACTTCGCCCCCTCAAAAAATATCATTTTTGCACTTTCCCCCACAAAATAGAAAAATGCTCTCTCCAACTTCGATTTTCTTAATGATTGTGAAATGATGGTTTTTATCATAGGAATTGATATAATTATGGACCACAGTGTTACCTTTGAGCAACCGTTTGAACCATCGATGGAGAACAGCTGGTTGTTGCCCGCCGATTCAATTAATTTTGGAAGAAAAGAAAAACCCAAAGTTTTTTTTGGGTGATTTTATTTGGAAGATAAAAGAGAGCCCCAACGGTAATATGGGATAAAAAAATGGTCAAATGACATTTATAACCTTAAAAGACTAAATTACCCCTCCCCGTTACTGAAATCCGATGAGAGGAATTAATCCAGTAATACACATTTGGGGAAAAAGACAACGAGCTATATATCTCAAACGGGTTAATCTCATTTTTCTAATTTCAGGAGAAAAAGTGGAAAAATGACATTTTTTGAAGGGGCGAAGTGCAATTTGCCCTTAAGTTAAAGGGACAAATAAATTCTTCGTTAGGGTTTTGTTATTGTTTCGACTTAGGGGTTTTTTCATCAGTAAATTAAACCATGTCGAATTACGTACCAACAGACCTCCTGATCGAAATCCTCCAGAAACTGCCGGTTAAATCCTTAATCCGGTTCGCCGCCGTCTCCAAATCGTGGCGGTCGATTATCACCAGCGCCGCCTTCATCGCTTCCCACCTCTCAAAAGGTAAGAACCATACCCATACCCTAATCCACACGCTATCAACAAATTCATTGGTTAAATTCACTGGAGGTGTACCCTTTGCTGTCAATTCTCCCTCAAAACTCGAATTTCCCTACTACGAATCACACAACATTTATACAAGAATAGTAGACTCTTGCGATGGGCTTGTGTGCTTATCGAATAACTTCTTCATAATTGATTAATTTTGCGCAACCACCCGGCGTTATATGGAACCCGTCTGTTAGAAATCATGTAGTTTTACCCCACCCTACTATCAATCCGGAAGACGCCTACATTTCTGTACTCGGTTTCGGAGTTGATGCCGGTCGTACCCACCACAAGGTAGTGAGGTTTCTTTACTGCAGAAACGCGGCCGGTATTTTTACGACACGGGTTGAGATATTTTCCCTCAAGACATGGAGTTGGCGGAGGTTGATTGGTGGAGTTGATATTACTCTGGACGCTTATCCAAGTCTGTATTTTCGTCAAGTTTTCTTGAATGGGGTTGTGCATTGGCTCATCGAGCAAAAACCGATCGGTGACAATAGTTTTCGTCGTAGTTATATTCTGGCCTTTGATGTTGGAGACGAGGTATTCCGTGAAGTGATGTTGCCGGAATGGGAGGCGGGTGGTTCGGGTTTCGCAAAGTTGAGAATTTTCGTGATTAAGGAATCACTCGGGGTTGTCAAGTCAACTGGCGAGTCGTGTGATGTGTGGGTGATGAAGGAGTACTGCGTGAAAGAATCTTGGACTAAGTTATATACCGTTCGTTTGTTTGAAAAGATAAAAAATGTGGTTGCTTTTTGAATAGTGGCGAAGCTTTATTGGCCTTAGAGAATTCTAGGTTAGTTGTCTATAATTCAGAGACTAAGCAGACTAAAGCTCTTGGAGTCTATGAAAAGTTTTTTATATATAATTATGTGGAAAGTTTGCTCTTGCTTAGAGGACACAGAATGAGATAAGCTTTTTGGTGAATAGTAGCCGAAACAAATTGAACACCGTTGATGGGATGTAAACGAAGGGCATTTCAGGCAAGAAGACTTTAAATTATTCTATGCAACTCTTATTGTTTTGAGTTAGATATCACTTGATCTTGATATTATTACAACAATTTGCATTTCTATTATTTTGCGTATTGAGCCTCTACATTTTGTCAATGATTTATTTCTCGTTTTATAGGCTCGATAAAATGAGTTCAAATTTGTTGAAAATAATTCGGCAGAGGAGAAAATATATTATACTGTCATATGTATCTAAATAGGTGCATGCATATGAAAATTTATCGACCTTATATTTGAGACGAAGAAAGAGCATTCTCTACTGATGGAAAAAAAGGTCTGCATCTTATTTTTTGATGTATACTAGTTAAATTTTATATTGTGATGAAAGATCAATAGAATGTATGAAACACAGTTTGCCAGCGAAGGGAGACAAGATATTAGTTTTTTCACGACAGTACGATGATATGAAATGGTTGAGAACAAATACACGATTTAAAAAAAAAAAAAGATAAATAATCGGAAATCAAATTTTATATCTCAACACATGGAATGTAATTAGCCATATCTGCAAAAAATAAGAAAATATAAAATAATGGTTAGATAAGAAAAATATATCTTAGGAAAATATAATAATTTGGTGGATAAGTTGTCGGTTTTCAGTCGGCGTTTTGACGGGCTGAACTCCATAGTAGACTTGCCATCTTAATCTCACGCTCCGATGTCCTCGCGTATTTTTTCAAAATATTTTTCAAAGTTATGGTGTCTTCTACCGAGGCCTCACCTAAAAAAGAGTGTGTCGTCTGCAAAACGAAAATTCGCAACAATAGGGGCCGCCAGAGTTATCCCTATCCCACAAAAATTCCGTTTATCTACTTCCTTTTGGACCATAGCTTTGAGAAGCCTAGGTGCAGTAGATACAAAGATACGGTGAGAGACGGTAGACACACAAAGTCGTAAAATAATCTCAACAAAATTAGACGGGCAAGTTTTTGTTTCTAAAAAAAAGCCATTCAATCTGATCATAAAGTTCCCACGACCTATCAATTTGAATTTGATGAAGTGGTTAACCTCATAAGCAACAAGAATATTATCAGTAATAGGTCGCTTGTGAACAAAAGTTGTTTGAGTGGGGAATATTAGGCCATTCAAAAAAGGCTTTAAACAATTAACAATTATTTTGGAACCAATTTTATAGACAACATCACATATGCTAATATGGCGATCTCGGTAATTCTTTCAGGGTTTTTCTTTTTTCGGATAAGAACAATATAGGTTGGGGTCGACATGGGTCGGTCGGACAATTATCGGCCAGTTACCTACCCAAACTAACCAATCGATTTTACTGAATACTGAAAACCATTACTAGCCCGACTATTGTAGGTTGGGTAATAGTTGGCAACCGACTTTATTGGGTGAAAAATTGGTTGGATGGTTGGTGTTATCGGCCATCTAATTATTGATATTTTTGTTTTTTACAATCATAAGATTTTATTCTATCAAAATCCTCCTCGCGGAAATATTGTTTTGGTTGCACTTTGCCGCAAAAAAACATTTATTGGTGGGTATCGTGCAACAAAAATAACGTTTTAAAAGGGTAGCGTACTGAAAAATAATATTTTTAAATGGGGCAGTTTGCTGCAAAAATAACATTTTTAAAATGGTAGTGTGCTGAAAAATAATATTTTTGAATGGGGCAACGTGCAGCAAAAATAACATTTTAAAAAGGGCAATATGCAACAAAACACACTTAACTCCAATGAATTACCCATTGGAATTTCGCTATAGGACAATGTGCAACAAAAATAATATTTTAAAGGGGACGTTCACTTCTTTTAAATTTAAAGGGAGTAAAGTGCAAAAATTATAAATTTATAGGGGGTCATGTGCAAATTTCCCTTCTTTTAATGCACTGAAAAATGAAAAAACAGAGTGTTGTCAATTTCCCCAAATCTCTACCATCAGTGAACAATGTCGGACTACTTCCCGGCAGATCTCCTCTCCGAAATCCTCGTGAAATTGCCAGTTAAAACCCTAATCCGATTCACCGCCGTTTCGAAATCATGGCGGTCGATTATCACCAGCGCCGCCTTCATCGCATCTCACCTCTCAACCAACAGTAAAAATTGCCTTTTCCCATTTTGTTGTTGGAGATGTAACTTCTGGTTTAAAATATGTAAAAGATGTTAATTATAGATATACATCATGTTGTTGGAGATGCTCTAAGGGAACATTGTTAGATGGATATAAACTTGAGTGGATTTTATTATTATGAATGCGCAACGTACTTTTTCGGTAAATTGATCATACTTCAGAGGGTTTCTATGATTTATGATTTATTATATATAGGGTTAATAACATTTTGCCACCTGCACTTTGTCCGTTTTTGCACTTTGCTACCTTAACTAAAAAAAGTTGCAAGCGCACACCTAAACTCAGTTTTTTGACGCACATAACCACCTAAGGGGAATATTCCGGCGAATATTCTCATTTTTCAACTCACGCGCGATGCACATGCAAAAGTACAAGGGCTTTTTCGTCTTTTCACCTGAAAATATCATAAGGGGGTGAAATTGAAAGTACCAGCTGGGACTCAATTGAACTTAATTTAAAACTAAAACAAATTCGATGAAGCTTTGTGGCTTCATCTTTCATGGAATCAAAACACCAGCCGCTGCACGCCTATTTCAAAATGGAGCAAAAAAATCTCCAATAAAGAGATGAAGAAGAACAACGACATCAATCTGCTGAAATTCGCCATGGATGAGAGAGACGAAAAACCCAACTCCGGAAGCGATTGAATCGGATTGAATCTGCTGAAATACCGCATATACCACCGTTCTTCCTCATCGCCGAGGTACCTTTTCACGACATGCGAACCGATTTAAACTCTTTCCCACGAATTGTCGGGGCCCAAATCGAAGACTAAACTCCTAGAGAGCGACAAATTTGAAGGAAGTGGTGGAATTGAACCATACTCCTAGGAATTGATATAATTATGGACCAAACTGTTACCTTTGAGGAACCGTTTGAACCATCGATGGAGAACACCTGGTTGTTGCCCGGCAATTCAATTAATTTTGGAAGAAAAGAACCCAATTTTTTTTTGGGTGATTCTATTTGGAAGATAAAAGAGAGCCCCAACGGTAATATGTGATAAAAAATGGTCAAATGACATTTATAGCCTTAAATATTAGTAGAAAAATGTCTTTTTACTACGATCATTAACCGTAGCAAAATGTATCAAATTCGTAGTAAAAAGGTTTTTGCTACGCATTTGCTACGAATTTACCCCGTACATATACGGGCGTGACAAAAGTTTTGCTACGGTAAATGGACGTATTAAATACTTTTTTGCTACGATAAATCCTAGTATTTACTACGACTTCAAAATTGTTCCATAGTAAAAAGTACCTTTTATTACGGTTTTTCACCGTAGGAAACAAATTCGTAGTAATAAGCAAATTTTCTACTAGTGTTAAACGACTAAATTACCCCTCCCCGTACTGAAACCCGACGAGAAGAATTAGTCCGGTAATACACATTTGGGGAAAAATACTACGAGTTATATATCTCGTAAGGGTTAATCTCATTTTTTCTAATTTGAGGAGAAAAAGTGCAAAAATGACAATTTTTGAAGGGTCGAAGTGCAATTTGCCGATAATTTAAAGGGACAAATAAATTCTTCGTTAGGGTTTTGTTAATTGTTTCAACTTTGAGCTTTCATCAGAAACCATGTCGAATTACGTACCAACAGACCTCCTGATCGAAATCCTCGTAAAACTGCCGGTTAAATCCTTAATCCGCTTCGCCGCCGTCTCCAAATCATGGCGGTCGATTATCACCAGCGCCGCCTTCATCGCTTCCCACCTCTCAAAAGGTAAAAACCATACCCATACCCTAATCCACACGGAAGGAAAAAATTCATTGGTTAAATTCACTGCAGATGGACCCTTTGCTGTCGATTCTCCCTCAAAACTCGAATTTCCCTACTACAAACCACACAGCATTTATTTAAGAATAGTAGACTCTTGCGATGGGCTTGTGTGCTTATCGAATAAATCCTTCATGATTTTTCCGCAATCACGTGGCGTTATATGGAACCCCTCTGTTAGAAATCATGTAGTTTTACCCGACCCTACTATCAATCCGAAAGACGCCTACATTTCTGTACTCGGTTTCGGAGTTGATGCAGGTCGTACCCACCACAAGGTAGTGAGGTTTGTTTACTGCAGAAACGCGGCCGGTATTTTTACGACACGGGTTGAGATATTTTCCCTCAAGACATGGATTTGGCGGAGGTTGATTGGTGGAGTTGATCTTACTCTGGGCGCTTATCCAAGTCTTTTACGTCAAGTTTTCTTGAATGGGGTTGTGCATTGGCTCATCGAGGAAAAACCGATCGGTGACAATAGTTTTCGTCGTAGTTATATTTTGGCCTTTGATGTTGGAGATGAGGTATTCGGTGAAGTGGTGTTGCCAGAATGGGAGGCGGGTGGTTCAGGTTTCGCAAAGTTGAGTATTTTCTTGATTAACGAATCACTCGGAGTTGTCAAGTCAACTGGCGAGTCGTGTGATGTGTGGGTGATGAAGGAGTACTGTGTGAGAGAATCTTGGACTAAGTTATATACCATTCGTTTGTTTGAAAAGATAGAAAATGTAGTTGCCTTTTTCAATAGCGGCGAAGCTTTATTGGCCTTAGAGAATTCTAGATTAGTTGTCTATAATTCAGAGACTAAGCATCCTAAAGATCTTGGAATCTATGGGACTCCGCCCTCGCTTTATATGTATAATTATGTCGAAAGCTTGCTCTTGCTTAGAGGACGGACATATTAGTGGAGACGAGTTAGATACGGTGATGTAATAGCTTAGAAATATGGGAGAAGCTTTTTGGTGAATAGTAGCCGAAACAAATTAAACACTGTTGATGGGACGTAAACGAAGGGCATTTCAGGCAAGACTCTTATTGTTTTGAGTTAGATATCACTTGATCTTGATACTATTACAACAATTTGCATTTCTATTTTTCTGCGTATTGAGCCTCTACATTTTGTCAATGATTTATTTCTCGTTTTATAGGCTCGATAAAATGAGTTCAAATTTGTTGAAAATAATTCGGCAGAGGAGAAAATATATTATACTGTCTATGTATCTAAATAGGTGCATGCATATGAAAATTTATGGACCTTATATTTGAGACGAAGAAAGAGCATTCTTTACTGATGGAAAAAAAGATCTGCATCTTATTTTTTGATGTATACTAGTTAAAGTTTATATTGTGATGAAAGATCAATAGAATATATGAAACACAGTTTTTGCCTGCAAAGGGAGACAATATATTAGTTTTTTTCACGACGGTACGATGATAGGAAACGATTGAGAACAAATAAACGATTTAAAAAAAACAAAAAGATAAATAATCGGAAATCAAATTTTATATCTCAACACATGGGATGTAATTAGCCATAACTGCAAAAACTAAGAAAATAATGGTTAGATATGTAAAATATATCTCAGGAAAATATAATAATTTGGTGGATAAGGTGTCCGTTTTCAGTCGGCGTTTTGACGGGCTGAACTCCATATATATAGTAGACTTGTCCATCTTAATCTACTGCTCCGATGTCCTCGCGTTTTTTCAAAGTTATGGTGTCTTCTACCGAGGCCTCACCCAAAACATAAATTCGCAACAATAGGGGCAGCCGGAGCTATCCGAATCCCATGAAAATTCCTGTTATCGAAGCCTAGGTGCAGTAGATACAAAGATATGGTGAGAGGGGGTCACCCTGCCGAAGACCTCTCTTCAGAACCCCCGAGCCAAATTGAGATCATTAAAAAGAAATAAGAGACGGTAGACACACAAAGTCGTATAATATTCGCAACAAAATTACGAGGGAGGCCAAAGCGGACAAGTTTTTGTTTCTATAAAAAGCCACTCAATCTGATCGTAAGCTTTGCTGATATTAAACTTAATGGCTTAATCCCACTTTGCACTCTTCAAATTTTGTCTTTTGACACTTTGCACTCTAGAAAAATAATTATAGTAATTTCTACTCTCAAAACATAATAAATCTTTCACAATGCACCCTTAATTGAATAATAAATGACAATTCATTTTTTATTGAATTTTTTATTCCGGGGTGCAAAATAACGTCAAATGAAATTATTATTTTCTTCAGCCTCCAATTTAATTTCGAGCGCACAAAGTGCAAAAAAATAAAAATCACACCGGATAATTGAAAAAAATATATATTCATACAAAATAAAATCAAATAAACTTTTATCACTAAATTATTCGATTGATAGATCTTTTATTGTAATTGGTAGAAATATTAGGTAGAAATATTTGGAAGAAAATATGATTGTCAGATAACTTAATAAGGTAATAACTGAAGGATTTTTTGTGATAAAAAAATATAATTTTTAAATACAATGAAAAATATTAAATTACCTTTACTTAGCTTTAAAAACTGCTCATGTGAGATGCATTATGCATGAAATATTGTGTTTCGATGGTACAAAGTGCTATTAATTAATTTGGAGGGTGCAAAGTGCTAAAATTGTATATTTCAAGGGTGCAAAGTGAGATTAAACCTAAACTTAAAGTTCCCACAACCTCTCAATTTGAATTTGATGAAGTGGTTAACCTCATAAGCAACAAGAATATTATCAGTAATAGGTCGCATGTGAATAAAAGTTGTTTGAGTGGGGAAGATTGCGTCATTTAAAAAAGGCTTTAAACAATTAACAATTATTTTGGAACAAATTTTATAGACAACATCACATAGGCTAATAGGGCGGTATCAGTAATTCGTTCGGGGTTTTTCTTTTTTGGGTTAAGAACTATATAGGTAGGGCTCGACATGGGTCGGGTCGGACAATTATCGGCCAGTTACTTACCCAAACTTACCAATAGATTTTACTAAATATTGAATACCGTATTACTAGCCCGACTTTGTGAGGTAATAGTTGGCAACCGACTTTATTGGGTGAAAAATGGGTTGGATGGTTGGTGTTATTGGCCATCTAATTATTGATATTTTTGTTTTTCTACAATAACAATAAAAATCCTCCCGAAATATTATTTCGGTTGCACTTTGCCCCAAAAGTCAATTTTTGTTGGTCATCGTGAAACAAAAATAACATTTTAAAAGGGTAGCGTGCTGAAAAATAATATTTTTAAGAGGGCAGCGTGCAACAAAAATAATATTTAAAAAGGTCAACGTTCGACAAAGATACTCAACTCTAGTGAATTACTCATTAGAATTTTGCTATAGGGCAATGTGTAACAAAAATAACATTTTAAAGGGGACATTCACTTCTTTTAAATTTAAAGGGAGTAAAGTGCGAAATTATAAATTTATAGGGGGTCATGTGCAATTTGCCCTTCTTTTAATGCCCAGAAAACTGAAAATACCGAGTGTTGTCAACTTCCCCAAATCTCTACCCTAGAAAGAAGAATTTCATCAGTGAACAATGTCGGACTACTTTCCGGCAGATCTCCTCTCCGAAATCCTCGTTAAATTGCCAGTCAAAACCCTAATCCGATTCACCGCCGTTTCGAAATCATGGCGGTCGATTATCACCAGCGCCGCCTTCATCGCATCTCACCTCTCAACCAACAGTGAGAATCAAACCCTCCTCCTCACGCGCCACGGTAAACACAGCAAGCTCGATCACTTTTCATTTCTGAAAGCATCTGAAAACGGAGGTTTTGGCATCAATTCCTCTTCGGAAATCAAAATTCCATTCGAATTCCCGATCGAGTATTCCAGAATAGTTGGGTCTTGCGATGGGCTTGTGTGCTTATCCAATGATATGTTCTTCCGTAATCCTTCGATACCCAGTATTATTATATGGAACCCATCCGTTAGAAATCATATAGTTTTACCCAACCCCACTATCAATCCGATTGAATCCCACCATGTTGTACTGGGTTTCGGAGGATTTGGTAGTAATGCTTACAAGGTTGTGAGGTTGGTTTACGTCAGAAAAATCGACGACGTCAGTTGTTTGAGTGTTCCGCCGCAGGTCGAGATATTTTCCCTCGATAAACGGAGGAGTTGGCGGCGGTTGATTGGTGGAGTTGGTATTACTCTGTGGGCTCTTAAAAGTACGCACTGCCGAGCTTACGTGAATGGGGTTGTGCATTGGCTCGCCTACAAACCGTTCGATGAAAATCAACCTCGACGTTGTTCAATTTTGGCCTTTGATATTGGTGACGAGGTATTCGGCGAAGTCATGCCGCCAGATGAGTTGGCAAAGGAGGCTTCTGCGAGCTTGGGTATTTTCGTGATTGAGGATTCACTTGGAATTGTCGGTTCGAATATGGTGTCGTGGAATGTGTGGGTGATGAAGGAGTACTGCGTGAGAGAATCTTGGACTAAGTTATATACGATTGATTTGTTGGAGGAGATTACACATTTTGTTTGGTTTTGGAAGAGCGGTGAAGCTTTACTTACCATTCGTGATCTTGGGTTAGTTGTCTATAATCCAGAGACGAAGGAGACTAAGGATCCTGGAATCTACGGGGATCCGTATTCGTTTTTTGTTGATAATTACGTGGAAAGTTTGGTTTTGGTTAGAGGGCATGGATAGTGGAGATGAGTTTAGTTATGCTGATGATGTAATAAACTTAGAATATCGGAGAAGCTTTAATTTTGGTGAATAGTAGTCGAAACAAACACCGTTGGTGGGGATGAAAACGAACGGCATTGCTGGCAAGGTTTAAATTATTCTGTGCTTTCGAGCTAAATATCGCTTGATCTTGAAATTATTATAAAAGTTTATATTTTGTGAATGCTTTATTTCTCTTATGACGAAGATTATTCCTCTTTGACGAATACGGTTTTCGCTGAACAACATGTTTGGGATTTCGTATTGAAGGTTAGTACGTCATAGTTACTTTTTACTATGGATACTCGTTGTTTTGTTTAAATGTGATGGATATGTGTGTGTGTGTGTGTGTGTGTGTGTGTGTGGGTGGGTGTGTGAGAGAGATTGTAGATTCTTTCAGTATTAAAATAAGAATAATAATAATAATAATAAACACAGAGTGGATGATCCCATTTGTGTTTATATAACACTATGCAGTTTATATATAATAAACACAATTTTCTGAACGGACACCACCAATAATATAATGGATGAATTCAGCAAAATAATATGTGAATGCTTGTGCTTGATGGTATCCATAGTACTCATAATTTTGGCTGGACTGACCTACACGATCAAACGCCCGCACTGCTACATCCAAGAATTCTACGTTCCCGCCCTCGACCTCTCCCTAAATAGTACCACCACAGCCGTAATCAACCCTTGTCTCTTCTTCGAGCTCGCGTTCGAGAACATTATGGCAGATCACAGTGTACGCTACGGAGATGTTAACCTCACCTTCTCGTATGGTCGAAGTGCGGTCGCCAAATACGTGGTCCCCACTTTCTACCAGGGGAAGTTGAAGAGGGCCGACAGGCGAGAGGTGGTGGAGAGCAGTGGGGTGCCGTGGGAGGCCGCCGTGAAGGTGGTTTCGAATGGGTCGGCGGCGGTTTTTCGGGTGGATTTGGTGGCACGGCCGAGGTTTAGGTTTTGGTTTTGGTATTCAAAGAGGAAAGGTATGAGGATTGGGGCTGACGTGGAGGTTGATGGGTTTGGGATGAAGATGAAGAGAGAGGATATTAGGCTGACCAACTTGGGGTCTTCCAAAAGTAGGGTTGGCATATTTGTTATGTTTGTTGGTCTTTTAGTTACCTTGTTGTGTTTGTTCTAATTTTAAGCTTGGGGTTGTACTACTCGGACCCAAACGATTGAAAATCAATCAATAAAAGTGTGACACTAATGATTTGTACGAATTCCATAAAAAAAAATACGATACCTAACTTATAAGTGAAATTACAAGTATATCACATTAACCCCTATAACTAAAACATAAGTAACAACTAATAATATTGGCAAAAAATGACATGAAATGAACTTAAATGCATATTGGTCCACAAAAACAATAGTCTTTCAAATAAACTTATCCCTATCTCTCCTCGTTTGTTTGCTACTATTAGATTCAATTAACTAAATAGTAGGAGTTAGTAAGATGTTTGGTTGGTAAGATTCAACAATACTCAAGCCCGCTACTAAAGTTGAAGCCCGCAATTAAGTGCTACTACGTCATGAAATTAGTAACACCCTTCCCCCCGCGTGCGATTAATTTAGTAGGGGTGACTAAAATGGGAAATTACAAATTAATCCATCAAATAATGATTTAATTTTGTTAAATAAAAGACTTTATAGACAATTTACATAATTTATATATATAGTAACATAATTTAACAAATTTAATACAACATGTAATATAAAGACCCAAACATGTTATTAACTTATTAATTAGTTAACTAGTACGAAATTAATCCAATCTAATCTAATCCGATCTAATCCAATATATGTAAGCAAACAAGGATTAGTCTAAAATACAGTCCATAATATATTTTTTTATTTATTCCATCAATCGTACTCTAACGTCCTTAATATTATTGACCCCGGATTTAAACAAATATATCACGTTAACCCCCATTGTAATAATTTTTTGAAAAAGTATTTCTTTTAGAAAATATTTTTTTTCTGAATTTTTTTTTTTTCGGCCAGATTCCGGCGTTGACTGGCAGGCTGTTCTCGGGCGTTGACTTTTTTTTCTGAAAACTTTTTTTTTGCCGAATTTTTTTTCCTTTGATAACTGCTGGAGACAGTAATTTAGCAGCCAAGACAGTAATATTAATTGAAATATTTTTTGTAAGAAAAAAAAGGTCAATTAACAGTTAAACTACTCTCTCTGATAGTTAAATAACTGCTGGAGACAGTAATTTAGCTGCCAAGACAGTAATATTAATTAAAATATTTTTTAAGCTCAAACAAAATTAAAAAAAAAAGTCAACGCTAGAGACCATGCGGTTGACCTACCGAAAAAAAAAATTCAGATAAAAAAAAGTTAAAAAAAAAAGAGTCAACGCCGGAGACCGGTGGTCTCGCCGGTCTCCGGTGGTGGCGGGTCAAATTTGAAATTAGGGTAAAGATTGGTTAGTTGGTGAAATTTGGCTAAATTGGGGTTTAAATCATGAAATTGGAGTTGAATTAACTTGTTTTGTTTTGTTTTTTGTTTTTTGTTTTTTTTTTGTCAAAATAGACTTTTTAGTTGTCGGCGCAACAAATTAGTAAGTCCAGGTATGATCGTGAATTTTTTTTCATTTGGGGGGCAAATAGCAAAAACAACCAAAGTAGGGGGCAAAGTGCAATTAACCCTACTTTTAATTCTCTGGTTTAATTATGTAAGGTTAATAAAGTAATTTTACATGAAGTACGATGGAGTACGACCTGTGTACGATCTATTTTTACTGGGTTTGTACTTTAACTTATAAATTCATAGGTTCGTACTAGATAAAAAAAAAAAAAACAAAACGCCGGACAACGGCGGCGACCGGCGGTCTCCGGTGGTGGCGGGTCCAAATTGGGGTCAAAATTGAAATTAAGGTTGAAATTGGTTAATTGATGAAATTGGGCTAAATTGAGGTGTAAATCATGAAATTGGAGTTGAATTGGGTTTCAATGAATTGGGGATAATTTTAGTATATATAAAAGATTTTCCTTGTTTGCAAATAAGTTTGAATGAATTAGATTTATTTGAAAGACAAAAAAGTTGGATACCCTCTTTTAATTAAGTGTCCCTGTCATGGGCCTATTTGCCATTTACTTTTACAAGTAATTTTTAAAGTGTTTGGATAATAAGCTTATTTGGTATTTTTATTCATTATAAAATATTAAATAAAAGGGGTTATTTTACATACCCCTAGCCACCAAATAAACTAGGGATAAAGCCAAGCCCAAATCATCCTTTGACATACCACTGGGAAAATTTAGAAAGAGATTTTTGCTGAAAGAAAGAGAAGATTCACAATTAATCTTAGGCAATGGTGAATGAGGAGAGAGAGAGGACTGATGTAGGAAATTCTTTGGGTGAAGACAGTGATTCCATTCTCGACGAGTGTGTAGTCGATTTGGCAGTCGAAGATGGGGCTGCGGAGTTACGATGTGATTGAACAGTCAGCGCGTGTGACGGAGCTTTGGCTGCTACGGCAGGGGCCGACGAGTGGTGTGTAATCGGACATATGGATGGAGAACGAGACATCAACAGCCTCAAATCCTTGCTTGCACAATTAACTGAGGGATAATTTCTGTTCTTTTGGCCAATTAATTGAGGTTTGTCCCAAATCCTTGAATTTTGTGATACGATCTCTTGAGTATCATAAGATTTCTTTACTGAACGTAAGAAAACTCTTCTTTATTATTTCTCTTCATAATCAAAACCCTAGCACAATACGACTATTTAAAGAGAATAAAACCCTAGAATCCTAATCTAACTAGGAAAGATAATTACCTAAACTAATTAAATACCTAATAATCTCCTAACCACTACTAACTCACGGCCATCTATAACCCTAAACAACTATTCTATTTAATTAATAATTAAATAATGACTAACTAATAATTAACGATATATTAAATAATAATATATCGTATCAAACCACCCCTCTTGAAATGAACCTTATCCTCAAGGTTCCAATAATTGAGGCTCTCTCTTTTGCGCTTCCACCTGTGTTTGACTACATCGAATTGCGTCCCGAGTGAATCCGAAAAACATGACGAACGATCAAGATTTTTACCACATTGTTTAGGTTGATCGAACGAACTCCTCAAGGCTTTTGGAAAAATTCTCAATATTTTTCCCGATAAATAAGCCTCTTCAATTACCTTTTCAGATTCCGGTTCATTCACAGTCACCAATTCTTGTTCGTCTTTTTTCCTTTCAACAACATGGAAATCTCCCAATATCCATTGTAGTTCTTCATTCTCATCTGTGGTTAATTCCTCATCTTCGTCCCAAATTATCTCCGTTAACTCCGATTCTTCTTCTTTCGGCTCTTCGTCCCACTTTATATCAGTTGAATCTGATTCTTCTTCTTCCGGCGAACTCACAAAAATTTGGGGCTCTTCGAAAAAGTCATCGTCGTCCTCTTCCTCTCCCTCCGACGAGCTCGGCAGCGGTGGTGGTGATGGTAGCGGTGGCGTTGGCGGTGATGGGCGGCGGTCCCTTCGGCTTTTGTGTTGGCGTTGACGTCGTCCGTGACTTTGTTCGAGCAATTTCTGAAAGTCAATCCGTAATCTCTCTACGGATTTCTCCAATCGCTCCAACCGTCTTGTTTCTGACATCATGATTTTCACAAAGTTTTGATGTGATCTCAACTTTGCTCCAGCGTAGCTTTTGTTGAGTTTCGGGCACGTGTACGCAGCGGAAAACAAAAATTTAATGCGATTTAAACGACTTTAAAACACATAAGCACACGCCCGACAAATTAAAATCAATTAATTGCGTACCTTTGCGCTTCCAGCGAAATTAAAAGCAACATACATGCTAAAATGTTTAACTAAATTTAAACCAATTAACATGCTCGCGTTTAAACCAACTAACATGCTTGCAACGATTAAATCGATTACACATAATCACATAAAATCATACGAAAGCAAACATGTATATATAGAGTTTAAACGTAAACGAAACAAGAACATTGAGTTCGTGTGTTTACCTCTTGAAGCGTGAGGTAGGAGCGCTTAGCAAGTCGAGATTGCTACGGAAACCAATCCGTACAATCGGGGCAGCAACGGTGCAGCGGTAGCAGCGGTGAAACGGCCACGGCGGCGCGTGAATCTCACGCGTGGTCTTCCGGGGCGGCGCGTGGGGTAGCGTGCGGCTTCGGCTCGTGCGCTGCTCCTCGATTCCTCGATCTTCGATCTTCCTCCTCTCGGATTTCACCTCGTATACTTTGATCTACTAAACACGTGGCACTAGACACGTAATAGTTAGAAAAACGGAAGAAAATGAGAAGGAAAGAGACTACCAAGGCAGTCGGCCGATGAACGGCCGATTCCGGCGACGGCGCCGGTGATGGCCGCGGGAGAGAGGCCGAGAGAGAGAGGTGGACGGCTAGGGTTAGGGTTAGGTCTTGTGTGTTTGTGCAAGGCCTATAAATCAAGTATTTATAGTCCCTTGCATAAAACCCTAACGGGCTTAAGTTGGACCGGGCCCAACAGCTTAAGCTCGTTAGTTCCTTTACTTGCTCGTCTCTCTCAATTCAATGATAGAAAAATTGCAACAATTACATTTTCGGAATCATTATAATATCCTCGTCATTACAAGTGCCATCTTTCATTTTCCAACTTTCCAAAAGTGGAAACCCTAGTTCAGTGCACTTTCTAAATTTGGAAACTTACCGATTTAGAAAGTTCACTAACACGTTCGCCTATTCTTTTCCTTTTCTTATTCTCATTCATAATTCCAAATTATGAATATTGGATCCAATCATATTGACTTCCAATCATGCAAAGATAAACTTACTTTATCTCTGACCGTTTATTCAAAGATCTCATGTGCACGAGCAGTGTGACCCTCGATGGTTCAGGTGTAAGCTAGCCGTGGGCCCACAACCCTTTGTGGTCAAAACTCGTCCCTTAGAGTTACGATTAAGATGAAGCTCGTTTCACCTTAATCACCCAACGAATCAAGATTGGCGTCTAGCAACTACGCGTCATGATTCCCTAGATACAAATGAAGTGCCTGCAAGAACCTTCAGATATAGTTAACGTACAGTACGGTCCCTTCGATTCATATGTCCCGATCGAACTAGAGGCATTGGTTCATCGAGACCTCTTTATATGTTCGATGACGGTGCG